CTTCCTAGATTATGCCTCCCGCAAAGTATATATTCCCACCCATGATGGAACCTGCACCCGAACAGTGAGTTGTCTCCCATAATGTCCGAGTCTCTCGGTCCTTCATCATATTTTGCACTTATTCACAAGCCTTAGGCGAATGTGCTCATAGATGGCTCAGGGAATCCCCATCTCACAGATTTCGGTCTTGCAACAGTGGCAGGGGACGCACAGTTGCAGTTGTCCAAGACGACCGTGACCCGCAGCTTGGATCCGCGATGGCATGCGCCTGAGGTCATTGGAATCTACCCGGGGGCTGACCCTGTGCGACCGAATTTTAAGAGTGATGGGTATTCTTTTGGTGGTGTTATGTTCTTTGTGCGATTTCTATATTTTCTGTAGTTCTATCCTAAGCTTGCTCCTCTCAGATCGTCACGGTCTCGGGGAATATACCATGAAAAGAGAAGAAAAACCCATATCTAATCATCCCTGAGCTCTCGAAAGGAGCGACACCCGCTCGTCCCCGATCACTGGAACTTGATTCAAAAATGTTGGTCGTCGGACACCACGGGTCGCCCAGAGGCAACGGAAGTCATCACATACATTGCAACGAATATCACTGCCATTTTTAGAAAGACTGAAAGGTGTGTAGTTTTCAGATGCCGGTCGTGTCGTATTTTTCTAACCTGAAACGTTACCTAGCGCTATCTGGACTCGTTTCTATGGAATTTGACCTTCGGAAGTTTTCACTACTCGTCTCGGGGGTATGTTTATAACGAATACATACGAAAATATACTTCAATGCTGCCCGCTCATTGGTGATAAGGCCATGATATGGGAAGGGTGTGTCATCTGTGCACCGCACATATCCCTGCCACACCCGGGTTCATTTCCATTTTGCAATATGACCACGTTGGAGCTCGGTCCAATGCTGATGAAGCAGCCATCGACAGGATGTCGAAAACTAAGTTTTGAAGTGACCCGAAAGTTATTTCACATCAACATCGGCAATAAATAACACCTCAATGATGTCGACACGACTATGGCATGACTTGCGAGTATCAACCGTTGTGGCGCCCAACACCACCTATATCGGTTGTTATCAATGACTTTATGCCAGTTGCAAGTTCTGTGCTAGACTTGGCAGCGTGCGAGTCAGAAGAATAAGTCAATGGCATAATATTGAAAGTCTCTATTGCGGGTGTTCCATCAGTCAAACTATTTGTAAACTCATCTAAGATAACAAGAACATCACATTTCGGCCCACATCACCGGCCCCATCACAACGCCTATAGTCCATATCTATACCATAAAAATCAGTCAACATGTTCCAAAATATGCATTGGATAATCTTACGACGTTCAGCGCTTTAACCAAAAGCAACGGGTATGCGTAAAATTGCGGAGCAGATTTATTCCCAGGTCTAGGATGGGTGAACAACACCCAGATGGAGAATACCTTCATGGTGATCGAATTGCGTACCAGCAATGACGGAGATTTCAGGATCCTGAACCAGATCAGCATGATCGTGACGATTATCGATATATGTATCACTGACCCGGCTGCTAATAATGACACGGGTTGGTCAGAATACTCAGCACCTTTCCTGTAAAACTTAAATGCTCCTTCCTGCATGGTGTCAAACGCCTCGCCTACGATCATAAGCCTTCTAGCATTCGCAGGCTGATATTGACGTACCATGGGCCGCGAATATCCCAGCCCAGCTCATGCTCATGGCATTGATAGTGGATGCGAGCGGTTTTCTCATGTGGTGCCACTTCTTGAGGACAGCCGAGATTTCATCCCAGTTGCCAAAGCTCTCGACGTGGGCCAGAAGATCAGAGAGGATGACTACGTCATTCAATGCGACCGTCATTCCACCAGCAGTTAGCGGGTGACGCATATTCAATGAATCTCCCAGTAGAAACACGCCTGCCTTGCTACGTTCTCCCTGCTTTGTGGGCGGAAGATAATAATGCGGTGCTCGTCGCACACACGACGCCTCTAGAGCATTGAGAATAGGCGCGCGGATCGACGATGGAAGCTGGGGAACAATGTCGCGCAGTATATGCTCCTGCAATATTGATGGTAAGTGGGGGCGATCACGACCGCACAACAAGGCAGAATTACGAACCTTGAGATCTGGCGGTGACTCCTTCAATTCGACCAGCATGCGATACTCATTGTTGGGGAGCTCAAAAAGGACGACCGGTCCAGCGCGTTTCAGTACAATCATAGTGGCATACTGGGGCGCTGGCAGCTTCAGGTCATTCAATATCAGACCCGCCAAGTAACCCCTTTGCGAAGGCTCATACGGCATGCTTCCGAGGACGGCAGTTCTGAATTTGGATGAGGAGCCGTCCGCGACAATGACGAGGTCAGCAAAATATGACTCTGGCTGACCACCTGCTTTGGAGGCATGAACACCTATTACGCGATGTGTGTCCTATATCATTATGCATAGAAATGAGTGCTCACGATAGTTGGATATGATGTCCAGGAAATCAAATGCTGCATGATTCAGCGTTGGATCGCCCTTTTTGAACATAGTACAAAGGGCCGCTGCTGTGTGGGCTTTGAGGATAGTTGCCCTCAGTTCATTTATACAAGTGTTGAGATCTCGGAAGGGGAAAAGCAGCGCACAAGCTTACCGTTGTGCCTGAGGCGTCCGAGCACTTCTTTACCAGGTTCATCGACCGTCACGTTCAACAATCCTTGCTTGACAGCACTGATGATATAGTCATGCGCAGATAGATCAATCATAGCTGTTCTGATGCTGTCTGCATTGTGTTGAGGAAGATTCCATGATGACATCGGGTGAAAAACTGACCGTAGTCCAGGATACGAGAGAATGCGTAAGCCGCAAGCAAACAGTTCTTCCGGTGTTTTAAACGATTGACCAATGTCATGACGACACCTTCCTCGATTGCTTTGAGTCGTATGTATGCTGAAAAAAGCTTAGCAGCAGAAGAGATGTTATCATATAAGAAACTCACGGTGCCGGAGAATTGACAACATCGCGAGAATAGCTCTACTACTTGTTGCGTGCTTTCGACTTTTCATCAGCAACACCAATTTCTCAATGAATCCTCTTTGAATCAAGTCAGTCTGAACGTCCACTGGAGGTCTGCTAGTCAGGCACTATATATGAATGCAAATGCATATGTCGTACTATGGCTCGCAAGTTGGCCAAGGATTTGGATAGCAGGATCCTCAATATCAGTTAAGCGATGTTCCAACATGTCGACCAAAAGTGCGATAAAACCACATCCTGGGTCGAATAAACGATCACGGAAGGTGTCTGGATCATGCTATGAGCTCATCAGTCTCACGACAGCGACATGCGAAACTTACCGTGTCTTGCATACGCACATATAACATTGCGACCGGTGGTGAGATGTAAAAGTCGTGCTGCTTCAAATGTTTGATAAGCGTAGGAATTAGATTTAGAACCTCAGCTTGCGCTCTTTCTGCAAGGGATTGTCAAGCATACGCCTACGTTTGAAGGAACAACCGAAAATACCATCGTGGACAAGGGCAGCAAGTATGCGTAAGGCCGCTACTAAAATTTCTTCGTCTGCGATAGGCGATCTCACTTTGAATGTGAAAGCACGTTCAGGTCAAAAACTCACGTTGGTTGCCAAGAAGATCGGTGATGCCCTTCGTGGTCACAGCCGTCGGTACAGGTCTGAAGATATCACAGTCACAAAGTGAATATCGTTCCGGTGGACTGAATTACGAACCATAGCTAGCAAGCAACGTCAAAGTCTGTGACGCATGAATTTGCACCATCAATGACTCGGTTTCGGAGACCCCTCCGAGGTCTAGTACACGCTGGAATGTTGCTTTACTCAAGATCTCATTCCCTACCGCGGCATGCTTGATTAGGGCGGGGAGGGCTCTGCAAGCTCGAATCTGATCGATATCGTCCCTGCTGTCCAGCATTTTGAACACGTCAGCAGCTGCCTTTTGGAAGTATTATGCGTCAAGTTTGGGCACTGCAGAGAGTGAGAACACGTCTATGCAACAGGTTCACCATGACCTACATAGTTCGCTTAGTGCAACGGTAGCACTAACACGTACTTTCGGATCATCGCTGTAACGGACTAGCTTATTTAACTGACTCTCCCAGCTGTCCGATTCTTTGATCGCAGCCCTTCCTTGTTCTATAAAGCCATTAGAAGATGAATCATAACAAAGAAATGAAACACCCACCAAATGAGGCCATGAACGCCAGTCGGTCAACCGCGTCGACACACTCCACTCCGTGTAACTGGATATCTCTTAGAAGCGAGGGTACGGTTGATTCATCAAAGATGTCCTTCTCCCACAGCTGGCCCAGTTTGGAAAGTCGTCATTGGCTGGCTGGATCATTCCAGTACAGCAATTCTGGCCAGACGTCGAAGTCCTTCCAAAATTTGGCCTTGGCTCTATAGTTGCCTTTGAACAAGACAGAGGCGTGAATCTTCTGTGCGGGGAGAATCACCCGAGGCGCGCCACAATGGAGCCTTCAGGAGATTCTAGTGAATTCATCGGTGCGCAGCGCAAAGCTTAAAGCACGTACCCGAACGCGTGACTGATAAACAACCCGCTTGACAGGAGCAAATTCGAGCAACCACCACATGCTCCTTAGTGATTCGTACGTCCTCTTCTGCAGGTCATCCATCTTCCAGATGACTTCGGTGGGCTTCATCCTCAAGCCTGCCTCGACAGCCTAATATGCTAAGCCGGGGTGGACGGGTCATGCTAGGATGGCGCACGGGTGCGCGCCACGGCGCTAGAGTGTGCCCCATCGGCAGCTTCGTCATAGCAAGCCTTGGGTAAAACGTCCCTTACCCTTACCAAGAGTCAAGCTTTCAAGACGCATACCACATTACATAATTTCAAGACCTGCCGCGGATGCAATTGAGTCATAATTGACAACTACCTTGTGCCAACCACTTAGCTAAACTCATCATTGGCAACGTCCTCTTCGCAACCACCGTGGCAACTTGATCTGCTACATCCCACAATCATCTGGAATGGCTGCGATAACCTATCCGTTAACTGTTCGTTCTTTGGCACATATGTTCCCAGACCTTCTCCACATCTCCGCCTTAGCTTCTCATAATATCAATGAAGGCAAAGATATTGGAGATCCCTTTGACATAAATGCAGCCTACGATGCAGAGAAGACTGTGCAGGAACTGGAGCCTCTCAGCCGTAAGTACAAGTAGTTTCAGCTCACGTTGTTTCAGTGCGCGCTCAATGTTTTGCATATCAATCCAATTCAGGTATAATTCCGGCGGTGTCTCACGTCCATATCGAAGCTGCGAAAAACCGAGCTCATGTATTGCGTGCAATTCGTAAGTGAAAGCTCTCCTCGTTTTGGCGCCAGACCCACAGTTGACTAGCCTTGATGTAGACGCGAATGCAACAGTTGGAGCTGTTGATGTCCTGGCGAGGTTGGATGAGATACAAAGAACACAAAATACGACACGGGCGATCACAAACGAGAATCAAGTGATGCTACAAGAGACTCGAGCGATGTTACAAGAGACTCGAGCCATGGTCATGAACGTCAGACTTGCGAGTCAAAATGCTAAGGTGCCACAGGAAAGAAATCATTACAAACCTCTTCAAAAAACTGTGAGTCAGTCCGTTGTTATCTCTGTCACCATATCCTAAAGTGTCCCTTCATTATTGCTGTAGAGGAGTGGACATGGTCGTGAACTAGCGTTCCAAGTATCGAGGCCAGAAAACATCAATCACCTTCCCCTACCAGCTACTATCCAGCCCGCTGCATTAGGGACCGTCCCTCCCTTCTTTGACCGCAATACAGATACGTATACATTAGGAACAATCAACTCCCTCATTATATTCTACAATGATGATTTCGACATAGAGAAGGAGGATAATTTGGAGATTAGGAAAATAAAGTTTCGTCGCTGGCTGTGTTCTTGATTATCGCTGCAGTCACTCGGTTTCTGACTCATTGGCATCTTCCAAGCTTATTGTTAGAAAATAAAAACTTGCATAGGATGTTGACATCTTAGCGCTCAGTGAGCGCTCGTGCGACAAACAATTCAACAACAACAACATTAATGTATCACATCATATTACTGCGCACATCCATTCCCTCGGTAATTTGCAACTTGCTACCCAGATCCAGAAAGGTCTGGGAGCTCCTGGGATGACTCCCATGCCGCTTCGCTGATATCACGCACCTCGCAGGTGTTGTACACTGTAATCAGTTCTCAATGTGATCGAGCCCTTCGCCAAAGCGGCCCCGGTCCCCGGCACTTAGCTCAACGGGAGAGACGGGGCGTGACATCCAATGACTTTGTTTGTAGTAGTTGGAGCCGAGAACATTCCGGAATGATAACAGGGTGCGGCCTATCAGAAAGTTAGAAACACATGCACTCCAAACAGTCCCCCATACCTCAAACGACTCTCCCACACCTTAAACCAAACCTGAAACAGCTCGCCCCGGTCTGATGACGTACTAGAGCGCACAACCTACAAACTCTGATGCTTGGTTTCTGCCACTGGTGCTCCCGTCAAAATTGAATCCGTTACAGACATCTCTCAGCCCCATCTCTATTGCCTTACTCCATCCCCTCCGGCATCCTACTCTGCATTCCATTCAGATAACTCCTCATCGCCATCATTCGAGTGTCAAAACGGTCACCATTACAGCAACAGCCTGCCTACCAATAGTACAGGAGGAGCAGCCAAGTCCTAGTGAAATGTAAGCGGCTAGCTAGTGCTGCCATGGTCCGGTTCGGTCCGGTTCGGAGGGTCCTAGACGAGAACCAAGAACCGGACCATCGGTTCGGTTCTACAAAATGTCCGAACCCAGAACCGGACCATAGAGAACCGTGCTCTATGGTCCGGTTCGGTTTTTTTGGGGTCCGAACCCGAACCGAACCAAAAAAAAAACTGTAAGAGCACGCAAAAAAACATTGACAAAGTACTAAGTAGTATACATGTTGAGTAACTAATCTAATAACATGGCTGCTCCCCCCCAATTACCATGCGCGAGAGGTATCAGGAGAGTGATTGTGATAACGAGGGGTTGACACAACGAGAAATAGGAAAGCGGCAGCGAAGGATGGCGATCATGAGCATGGGTCGAGGATGGTGGCGAGCAGCAGCAGGAGATGGCAGTGAGCAGCAGCGTGAGATGGTGGCGAGCGCGGGTACCATATACAAATAATAAATTTATTAGACACTGAAACAATAAAACACCATGACGCACCTTTGCAGCTGAGAGAACTCCCCATCTAGAGTCGAGTCTACATGCGCTGTGCGTTTGTGCATGGTGCTGGTGGCATTGGATGTGCTAAGTGGGAGGATGCTGAAGGTAATGAGAGGGCGCTGAACTTGTCAACTTGATGGCGGGAGGGTGCCAAAGGTAGCAAGAGGGTGCCAAAGGAAGTGAGAGGGTACTGGGAGTTGGGTTGGCACGAGAGGTTCGATCCAAAATATGACGTGACCGGTGGGAACATTACACATACATGAGCTCCACAAAGCATGCCAGAGAGAACTCACTGAGTAGCCCAAAACTCGAATGAGACCATTGCGCCACCAAGAGCTACATTCCAGAAAACGGGACCAACTTTCCCGGTGGTGTTGTCAACATGTGGCGTGTCCCGTACATGGAGTGCCAACTTGTTGGCCTAGCAGAGTGCATTCAGTTGTGAGAATATGCAATGAGACATGCATATCGATTCACCTTTGGATCCGATAGTAGGTCATCGAGGCAGGCTGTGAGAGACGGAGGGTGAGAGACAGCGGGGTGAGAGACAGTGGGCGAGAGCAGCCAGCGGGTGTGTGAGACAGTGAGCAAGAGACAGTGGGTGAGTGAGACACGGCGAGCGAGCCAGCAAAAGCCAGCCAGAAAGAACAGCAAGCGAGTGAGAGGGGATGTGGTGAGGTGGCGGGCATCAACATAGGCGCAGGTGGTGTGGCGTGTGATGGGTTGTGCGCTGGTAGCGATGGGTGCTGGCCCTCGAGGGAGCCATCAGCATTCAGAGCACAAATACGCACCTCTGCAGCATAGCGCAAGACACAATCCCTCCAAAATCCACCTTGACCGCGCCTAACACATCCACCTCCAGTAAAAGGTAGTCTTGCGCAGTGTTGTAGCTGGTCCTCAATGAATAGAACCTCCTGTTATAGAGGTGAGCGGGTGAGAGACTTGAGAGTTTAATTAGTTAGTGCTTACCTTCGAAAAGGCTAAATGTAGCTTGATTAATCAACAACGTGAATCCCGAAGACGACAGTTGTCGAAGTGGAAGTCGATAAGGGTTCAGAATGGTTCGGGAAGGCCGAACCAGAACTGGACCGTTTGGGAAGATCTAGAACCGAGAACCGTTTTCCGGTCCGGTTCTGGCTGGCGCGAGAACCATGGACCGAACCGCGGAGAACCGGACCAAAAGTCCGGTTCGAACCATGGTTCTGGACCGGACCGCGGCAGCACTACGGCTAGCTAAGTCAGACGATCACACTGATAATACTATTCCCGCAGAATGAGCGTCATGAAGCAAGCATTGGACATTTTCAAGGACTCAACAATTGCCTCAAAGACCGGCAAGGACAACCGTTCTCGTTTCTGGGGCCTATACAAAAGAGTCGTTGAGGAACACGACGAGTTTCTTGAGCGATACAACAGCGACGTGGACATCGACCTGGTAAGTTTCATGTTTCATTTATTCTGGCAGAGCAACTCATTCAATGACACAGTACGCTACACTGGATAAAGAAAAGTGAGTCTACAGCTCTTGTTCTGCTACTCTGATGTACATTAATGGCTACAAATGTACAGGTTGGTTCGTGGCCAGGCTTTCAAAGTTGTGGAGCCTCTTATCAAGCGTTTAGAGGCTCGTGCATCGTCTATGGTAGGTCTATAACCCAATTTGTATTACTTATACCCCCCTTTTTACAGCCGGAAACAGCATCTACAGAACACGATGGGGAAGATCTACGCCTGAGGCCTCCAGGTGCATACACCTAGGCTGGCCTTGCAGACTCAGCAACGGGCACAGCAGCCGCTCTCACAGGGTGGGCTGTATCGTCCCTCAGCGAAATGGTACGTTTGATTTGTTTTCGCTGAAATTGATGACTTACAAATATCTACCGCTCAGTCTGCCCCTGCGGGCATGCAAACGATGGTCTCGAGTATTATACGCACCAATATCGGCACCAAACATCAATGGGCGCGCCAGTTTTCTGCCTGTGTCATCTGCTTCTCCCTCCGCAAATCCATCTAGAAGCAAGGCCTACAACTGAGTTAAAGCTCCGACTTTTATGCTCGCTGAAGAGGTCGTTAACGAGGCAGGGCAGGGAAGTAGTCGTTTGTGGAAACAACGGTTCAATCGATATCAATGCTGATGAAGGAGATTGGAGTACGTTCCTTGACCTTTGAAGATATTACTGCATCCAATCTGACATTTTTCTTTGTAGGCATTCGAGAGCACTCTACCCGCTGCGGAACTCAAGCTCGCGAGTGCAACTAATGGTCCAGGATTTGGCATATCGCTGCGGGCCAGTTCTCTGAGTATGCATCACATGTTGATACCGTCTTCAATCAGCTCACTAATGCATGAATGTATAGCTCAAAATTATAGCCTGATTCCCATACCATATGGCGGAGGCGTTGTCAGCGACCTCTTCTCCGAATGCGATCGCGCTGCAGGTATGGCGCTGTACTTTATCGGACCCTTGGTAGGTGTGTTTTACGGTCTGCCACCTTGACACAACTTCACGCTCATCTCGCAAGGTCCTGCGGTCGGGCCCGTCATGGGGGGCTTCATCACAGAGTCGATCGGCATACAATACAATTTCTACGTCGTCGCAATCTGTGGCATTGCTGCAATACCCGGCATTATTTTCATGAGAGAATCTAATGCCCCAGTTATTCGGCTTCGCCATGAAAAAACGTCATTGGATCTCGAAAAGGCAGCCACGACACACCCTGCCTTTACTATGAGCAAATGGGCTTATCTGTGGATAAACCTTAAACGACCTATCATGATTATGACCCCGAGTTTTATATGTTTTATCTTGAGTTTACGCATGGCTCTGTGAGTTGATTCTAGAATAACACGGCTAGCTGATGTCATTTATTTCAGGATATACGGTCAGTAGTAGCGCACCGCACAAGTTGTTTGAACTTGCACTAAATTCGTGTATCAGGCATCTACTACTTGATGTTCACTACTCCCCCCGGTAAGACTACACACGCCCGCAGGACTGGATATTAATTACTTACGCCCAGACCTCTTTGTAAACGTGTACCGCTTCAGCATCGGAATCGGAGGTCTAGCATATATCGGCTTTGGTGTTGGGTTCATATCTGCCACCATATTTGGCGCAAAAATCTGCGACAAGACATATCTATACGTATGTCGAGATGTGTTCTAGCTCTCGCGTTAGCTCAAGCATTGCATTTAGCTTGCTGCGAAAAACGGAGGAAAGGGTAAACCAGAGATGCATGTGCCCGCCATGATATTCGGCTCGTTGGTCGTCCCAGTGGGACTATTGTGAGACGGCCGCTTCGAGTTCTATCTGTCGGTTCTAACCTGTTCTGCGTTAGTTGGTATGGATCGTCTGCTCAGGCCAAGCTGCATTTCATCATGCCCATCATCGGCACTGCTATCTTTGGATTCGGCATAATGAGAGCCTCGTGAGCATGCCTGTTTATGTAACATGGTAGCTGTTGAACGTCTTTGAAGTCTTGCTATTCAGTTGTACCTCGTAGACACGTTCACATATGCTGCGAGTGCTGTCGCAGCTGCTTCTGTGAGTCTTTCCATCCTTGTTCTTACTCTTTGATTTTCCTTTTACTTTTAATCTCATCGCCGTTCACGCACTGAACACCCCACGATATCGGACACTCCGCTCCCTCCTCAGGTCCGCATTTCCCCTCTTCGGATAGCAGATGTTCGCTGCGCTCGGTTATGGAGGGGGCAACTTGCTCCTTGCAGACCTTGCCATCGTTTTGGGTATACCCTTTCCTATCTGGATATATTATGCTGGTGAACGTATGCGTGCGAGGAGTTCTTTGACTCGTTGATGTTGGTGATGATGTTGATACTATGATCTTTGTACGATTTGGTCAGCTCCCATTTTCGCTGCATAACGAGCACACTGTTGTGTTTGATAATCCGGAGTAAGCGCGGTGGCTGCGGTGCCAAAATGGGGCCTCGCTGGAGTTTGGCTCTTAAGGCACAATGGAACTTGACAACTCTTGACCTGACAATGAGCAGGCCTTGATGCAGATCAAACCTAGTCCTCACTGCCGCCGGATGATCAAAGGAATAAGTAAAGTTCAAGCGGGGAGCAGTTAGGGTCCGAATAGTACTAAACCCTGACGGAACCAATTCAGAACTTGACGCTCGCTGTGCCAGCAATGATAGTAGGGGGGATCTCTCTCGTTCACAGGAATGTCAGATCTTCCTCTGCTTAGCTCAGTCGACGGCAGCTCCCGCTACGATGCCACCTCTAGTAGAAGCACCGATGACGGTCCAACTCTTCCTCTAGATGACATCGATAGACCAATCATGGAGAAGAGGCTTCTCCGTAAGTTGGACCTTCGAGTAGCATTCCTAGTTCTGGTTTACATCATGAACATCGTGAGTCATTGCACCTGGTGTTTCCGTGACTACCTAAAACCTCTACGCAGATGGACCGTGCTAATATAGCGTAAGTGGTGGCCCTTTGAAAACAGGTGGAGTAAACTGACTTAACATCTACTCGCAAGTGCAGTGAGGCTGCGTGGTTTCGAGGAGGATCTTGGCATGATGGGGAACCAATTGAATACGCTCACCAGCATCCTTTATGTGGGGTATCTGTTGATGCAGGCTCCTTCGTATGTTCGAACACCTTATCATTCTGCGGCACATCTAATAATTTAAAAGCAACATGATCTTGGAAAGGCCGTCATTATACCTCTCGAGCTGTATGATAATGTGGGCTGCGATCACCATGTACATTAGTACGTCACACAACTTTCGCTTGATTGACATTGCCTAACAAGGGTCATCATCGACAGGTGCAGTACCAACGTTGGTATCTAGCATTCTTGCCTCCCTTGAGTTAACCGTGCATTAGATATCATGCCGCTCTTATCTTGCGCTTTTGGCTTGGATTCGTGGAGGCAACATTCATTCCTGGAGCTGTATTCCTTCTTTCACGATGGTACAATTGCCCAGTATCTCCTCGCACTATATACTGAAATTCCTTTAGGTACAAGCACAATGAACTAGGTTTACGCATGGCACTTCTTTACTGCGGCGGCTTCGCCTGTGATGCTTTTGGCGCCCTTATTACGTCGGGAATTTTAGGTGGCCTAGACAGTAAATTAGGTTTTATGGCATGGAGGTCTGAGCCGAATTGCACGTGCGTTCAAAAGTCAAACTGTTCTGATTTTGCTGCTACAGGTGGCTCTTCTTTGTGGAGGGCGCTTTGACTATCGTGGTCGCAGTGTCTGCAATCTGGATTATACCCGATTTTCCTTCAACGCCGAGCGTCTGGCTTTTGTCTGATGAACAGATCCTGGCCAAACAACGGATGGGGGAAGAAGTTGTGGCCAGAATTGAACAGGAAGGCAAGCCTGAAGAGGAATCTTCTGGCCTTGCTGAGGCCCTTACGGAATGGAGGGTACGGTGGCTTGGTGTTGCTCTTCATTTGATGCTATCCTCGATGTCATTCACCATATTTTTCCCGACTCTATCTGCTACAATGAGTTCATCAGCCTCTTGCTCTGCGCACCTCCATGGATTCTAGGAGTTGCAACCACATTCGTTGTGGCCAGGTCAGTATTTACTCCACAGGTTCTATGGGTAAATTGACGATACTGAATCAAGGCATTCCGATGTGACTGGCGACCACTTCTGGCATATCGTTGGCCCTCTACTTGTCGGTATCGCTGGGTTTATTCTCGCAATGTCTACAATGAACACGGTTGTGCGACATCCGTCACTGTACGAACCTTCCTTTCCTCATCATGTGATTCCATGGACTTCATGTTCCGTACAGATTTTTTATCGCTCAGACGGCAGTCGCCTACGTTGTCTCTCTAACCTGGGTCATGAATACGTTTTCCCAAACATAGTCGAAACGCGCTGCAGCCATCGCACTAATAAACTCCATGGGAACATCTGGCTTCATTAGTTCCTCGTCAGTTCAGTGCGGCCTTGTGCTTTAGCTGGTACTGACGCTGTCGCAGATACTTTTGGCCGTCCAGTTGGGGACCTTCATACGTGAATTCATGTCTCAATTTCACCTTGGCAAGCGGCGTGTCTGTGATGTTATGGGTATTTAGGGGACACCTTTCCCGGTGTAATGAAGCTGCTGAAGCTGAAGAACAAGTCTCAGGGCTACCCGAGGGTTTTAGATATCTCCTCTAGAGCGTGGTTGGCCACTGATAGGATCCCATCAGTGAGTATATATGAATGGATACCAGGACATAAATAAGATATGCAGGACGCCTTATTTGGCAAGTCATGAATTCACGATGGGTGCTTAAGGATGGTTTGCCGCTAGGAGGACCGGGTGGGTACTTGGCTGTTGGATCGATCGATCATGGCTGAACTATACTCTTTGAACATGATTCCGTATGGTGATCAATTCGACGACAATATCCTGTGATGTGTCTTGAATCATTCTACTGCCGCGTGACCCAAACTCAAATATCCAACGCATTCAAGTTCAAATATCAAGACTGCATGAGACAAGACTGGTCATGGTATTTAAAAGTTATCCCAGTGCAGTAGTTAACATTTGCAGGCTGCTTTTTGGGGGTCAAACGGCGGGACTCTACATGACGTCACTTGCTTCAAGGTGGGCACACCTATAAATAACTTTTGATGGCCAGCCCTGAACGTAACACTTTTGTGGTTCTTGTTGCCAGCTATTTTTGATGGCCGACTTTTCTGGCCAACACCGCCAGCACTTTTTGATGGCCAGCTTTTTTGGCCATTGCTTATCTGCATGGTGAGCATTTGAGCACTTAAAAGCTGTCTAACTTGAAGCACTTGTGCTTAGCTGGCTACCCACCTTACGCTCTGCATAAAACCAACCATCCATAGTGCAAGTAACATCCCATGTATAGCTCCATACTGAACTATACGTCCTGTCATCCGTGCTCAAAGATCGAGTATTTGCCAGCAATCTGTGGGAACTCATTTGGGAGCGCATCATCCAGGCGAAGCAGGAAGAGACGCTGCAAAGGCACCAGAGCGTATGTACTTGTGGGGATGGCAGAAGGCACGCGGCCGTAGAGCAAATTCTCCTGGAGAAGAAGAAGAAGAAGCGGTGTCAGATGGAGGTGTCGTTGCACATCCAGGCTATCGAGCTCCTCCAGCAACGTTGGCTGTGAGCTGTACTTTGTCTATGTACGAGTGTGCGGTCTAACCCTTGGTTGTTGTAGCGAGTCCTGGCGCTCCAGCCAAGCTTGACATCAACTCAATCAGGCCTCCCTTGAGGCGAATGCATGCGCCTACAGGCTGTGTACCTTTACCTTGTGTACCTTTGGCCTGCTAGATAGAAACACGAGAGGCGTCCGATGCTCAACCGATGAGGGACGATGCACCCCCCGTCCCAACTGCAGCACCTGTGATCGAAACATTATCGCCTTTAAACGGTCCCATCCCCTCGATACACAGTCAGTCTCTCACAGGAGGGAAAGCCGATGTCTAACAATTTGAATGTCAGTCTGCTTACTAGTAGCTGCTCTCCCGCGACCGCCTTTCTACAGTGTACTGACTCTCCATTGCGCCTGTCGAGCACATGGGTCGCTGCCGACCTCCGAAAAGTCTTTGATGAAGCATTCGAGAAGGAAGTGGCCTTACACGCGGATCCGATGGCGATATCCCTTGCTACCACGAGTAGCAATGCCATTCTGTGCAACCTCATGCTGGAACTACACATCTTGCATGCTAAGAGGTGCCGCGCACATGCTGAGATGGCGCTGTATTCTGTGGCTATCGAGAATTGTTGTGGTTTTGATATTAGTGAGCGAAATCGATCGCGCTCCCTTTTGCTAATTGCTGATGCTGTCGCAGGCCCGCCGACAACTTTTGAGCTACTTTTGTGCATGGATGCAGACATGTATTGCACGAATGATGAGTATGGTACGGATGGAAGCTGTGGGGATTATGAAGACTTTGATGACTATGAAGATGACGAAGAGGTTGATATCATTGATGGTGGAGATGTTATTTGATATCTGTGTATTTTTGCTTGCATGGGACTGCATTTCTCTCTCTTCGTTGTAATAGTAACATTAGATTATGGCCGAGTCATACTCCTGGGGTACGATTGTGTATAGTTGTTGGGCTTACTAGTGCGTGGTACGCGAAAAAAGACTGTCCGCAAATGTGTGGTCACTGAGCAAGGTTTTCGAATGTTTCATTTGCGGACGAGCATAAGTAAATGTGAACGAGATCATCCGTGAGGACTAAATAAAATGTGATGACAGGGATCGAGATATCGAGCGCTATGCCTATCCTAGCACGAAAGAAAGGTCTTAGGCTGTGGCCTGCATAAGGTATTTCTGACTCGGATGTGCGCAGACGATAAAATTTCACCGCATCGATGATTGGAATCACGTCGAGCGCAAGCGCGAATCGTACAGTTACCGTGTAACTTTCATTACTGGTTTACACGTAAGTGTCTCACTTGCATGATCAGACACTACTGGTCACTGCAAGTACAATTCAGGAGACGATATGAAGTTACCACGGCAAAAACCTTCAGGTCCAAACTTTGCTTGACAGGCCGTAAGATTCTATGCCATACGTCTTGCACGTCTACAGGCCTACAAATGCCTAAACAGAAAGGTAGACTTACAAAGAACTATATGCCGGAATACTGTACGCCATGACACAGAGCCCCACGTAGTGAAAGTCCCATCGAAAGACGGAGTGACATGCTTCAAAAAGTGGATGGATTTAGAGACGAATCATTGGGTGAATCAGAAGGGACAACAAACCTTTGTGGCACTCGCAAGCAAATGGCAGAAGACAGCGACCATGGTGCCAAACTCTGCTACAGAGCCAGTGTTCGCGTACAAAATCTTTCTCGAGAGTCCAGGCGCAAATTCGCCGCCCAATCTATTGGTGGAATCCATAAATGCGACTGGGAGAAACGAGAATCAGCATGAGGGCAACATTTTGGTGATGAAGAGGGAGCGACAGAATGAGAATGGAATACTGAACATGGCAGAGAAAGACAAGGAATTCACAATGTTCCTCTTAAAAGTGTAAGTGGGCAATGAACGAAGAAATAAGCGACTGACAAGGGAGCAGGATTCTGCGGGACGAAGATTGGATGGGAAGGAATTGACACATGGGTGAATTGGGAAGTGCTGCAGCTGGTAGAAGTCGGAAGCGGAACATATATGGCGTTGGAATGTATGAGAATGAGTAGATTAACCTGAATGCGAGGACACCAAACGTTCACAGGCGCATAAGAACAGATGGGATCATGGATGTAAGCACAAGAAGCGGAGGGCAGAGCTCGGAAAAAGCCGAGGCAACATATTGGCTTGTGGCCAGGATGTGGAGAATCTATACGAGTGGGAGGCTTCGCGACACGCTAAACAGGTATGAATATCTCAGTATTCATTTATGAAACTCTATTAACAAAATGTTGTACCTAAACAGGTACGAATCTACTTGTACATCAGTACTCTACTCAAACGTTACAGTGGGATAACAACTCACATCTCAGTATTCGTTTATGAAACTGAGATGTTACGACTTTGGCTGGCTCTTCTTATATGGTGAGTGTGCCAGCAAGACTTTTGATGAAAACATATATACTTAAGAACGAAAAGATTGCCGACGTTGACACGTCGTCCATGTTCTCCGTTTGGAGATGCTCGCACTCGATGTGGTTCATTCTTCGGCCGTACTCTCCTTCTCCCCTTCGGCTCTGTCTCTCTCGGCCTTACGCTCCTCGGATACATCGGCTCTCAACACAGGATGCAGGAAATAGCGGGTCCAGGGGGACCCGTAGGGTTGGGGTATGGACATGCATATGCATGAAATTCACCGGTCAAATATCAAATTCATCAAATGTCAGTGGGCTCAGCAGACCCCTTTCTATGACCAATTTCCATATCTCTCGCTTCCTATAGCGCTGTTCTAGATCATCAAATCATACTTGATAAAAGGATCCCTCTGGAAATGTCATATCAGCTGAAATTTAGTCGTGGGCAGCCAGATATGGTGGTTCAGATTATTATACATATAACCAGCCCATATTTAACTTGGCCGACATCAAACCTTCATGCGCGAGAGCACAGGTAATATGGGCAGTTATAAACTTATAGATGCTGCTCAATGATATGCGATAGAAACCACAAACACCTTTGGTGTATGCTATTCCCAGTCGGGAGTACTAGCCGCATCCCACGCTTGTGACAGCAATGTGGTTGCAGAGCGGCCGATCTCATGTTTTGACTTACAGCAGTCCGAGCAATCCATGGCGGCATCCAACATCCACACCAACGTTCTCCACCCACCACCCATTGTTACATACAACAAAGCTCCTGTTATTCATAGCCCAGCGCAGTCTATGGAGGCATCTGCCAGTGAGGTTCATGACCCACTGCAGTCTATTGAATCATCATCAGCTGCAGGTGCGTCCTGCTCTAATTTATTACTTTGACTTTTATGTTTATTGACTGTTGATAAGAAGTGGAGACTGTGGCGCAAAGCCTGAAGAGGCTGGAGTGTTTGATTGAGGCAAACACTGAAAGGCAGAACGTCCAGTTTATCGAAATCAAACGTACTTTATTGGCAAACGGTGATCTTGCACAGCAGAGCATTGTTCTCGCGCACCGGAGTCTAAAGAGGGCTGAGGATGCAATTAAATTAGCAGAGGATATCAAGAACGATACAAGGGGTCTGGGTGAGATGGATGCGTCTAACAAAACATTGTTAGCAAGGCTAAAGGATTTACTTTTGGGCGTTCGTTTGCCGACACTTACGACTACAGAGCCATGACAATGTATCTTGTATCAATATCAATATCAATGTTCAATGCTATATTGTTACTTGTGCCAGTCTACTATGTCTAGTGCATCAGTAAATTCACAAACTCCTTAGCGTCCTTTTTCGCCACTTGTCACGAAAATCTTCAACATGTTGCCGCTTATTATTCTTATGCACTTGTTATTTTTCTTTCACAAGCACTCACAAGTAAATGTGTGATTCACAAGTGCCCACAAGTGCAACAAGCGCCAAAAGCAAGGAAGACTAAAGTGTGTCGTAGATTACAAGTAGATAAAATTTTACTATGAATAACTACTCCTCGAACATTTGCGAATGAGACTTAAGTTCTAGTAGTCACGGCGCGCATGGGACTGGACGCGTGAGAACATTGTCAGTGACTGAACATTTCAACTCTAAACAACTTGCTCACCGTTCTGAAAAATGACGCTCGCAGATATGGTACGTACGTTCGTACGTGGATCGATGCAAACGCTGATGCGATCGATAGCATCGAGTCCGGTTCGAAGAGCATCAGAGGCCAATAGTGACGACAAACCTTTATTACACGCGGGGGAGGCGTAACGAAGCGAGATGCTCGGATATCGAAGGGCAAGGGAGGACTCAAATTGGTTTTTGGAGGGGGGTGAAGGCAGTCTTCGGTTGCCTGGATCAAGAGACGCTCGAGGCCATTCATGACCTGGCATGACATTGAGCGCCTGCGGAGTGGTAGAGTAAAGGTGAGTTAGTACATCTGTGAAGGCCGAACAACTAACTCACCTACATTAGTGTTAGAATGTACTTGAATACGAGAACGAATGAGAATTGATGTGACTGGGAACGGATCAGGAGGAGATGGCTGTTGCAGCCCACGAAGGAGGGACTGGGAATGGACCAGGAGGAGATGGCTGCGGTTGCTGTTGCAGACCCGCCAAGGAGGGACTGGGAACGGATCAGGAGGAGATGGCTGCGGTTGCTGTTGCAGACCCGCCAAGGAGGGACTGGGAACGGACCAGGGGGAGATGGCTGTGGTTGCTGCTGCTGACGAGATACGTCTTGTTCAGCAGAAGGTTAACAGTCTTGAGAAAGTTCTCGACAGTGAGATCGTCACCTACCGCATGAGGTTGTACAAAGTCGTGATCTTCATAAGGTGGAGGTGGACAACCGGGAGCGGGTGGCAAGCTCGCACCACGCTATCGCGCAAAAGGGTAAGCGGCGCTATTCATTAGCAGTATGGGCACAGGTACTTTACCTCTGAGGCAGAACTCTTAATGCTGCTGTTGCAGACCCGCCAAGGAGGGACTGGGAATGGACCAGGGGGAGATGGCTGTGGTTGTTGCCGCTGACGAGAATAACTCGTCAGTACGTCTTGTTCAGCAGAAGCTGCTGTTGCAGACCCGCCAAGGAGGGACTTACCCTCGGGTTGGTTGGGACTGGGAACGGACCAGGGGGAGATGGTTGTGGTTGTTGCTGCTGACGAGAATAACTCATCAGTACGTCTTGTTCAGCAGAAGCTGCTGTTGCAGACCCGCCAAGGAGGGACTTACAAAGTCGTGATCTTCGTAAGGTGGAGGTGGACCACAGAATTATGTGCGCTTGAGTTAGTGGTAATTGGACGTGGAGGTCAATCCTAGCTCCAGGACTTTGAGTTGGTGGTATTCGGAGGAGATTAAGACTTACTGTTCTGCCAAAGGAAGGGGGATCAAGACGCTATCTCGAACGCATGGTGATCGGCGTATTTATTGACATAGAATAAGCGGAAAGCATCATAAGAATGAAAATACTCGATGTCCTTAGGAATGAAATCGGGACCGTAGACAGGGATTAAGTGCGCTGCACGGTAAACGGTGTCGATATGAATAACAGTGAGGTTTGGGGTGCCATCGTCACGAACACTTGGACGGACTATCCACATGCCAGTATCCTCGTCGGCAGAGTCACTGACCTTATCGAACCAATGAACAAGAGCGCATGGATACGTGGCGGCCCAATTATATCTAAAGGAAAAAAAACATCTGACTCTGGCAACTTCGAGCCCTTTCATCCCCTCAAGGTCTGAATTGGTGTTGACAAACACGCAATCATTACGGGGATAGACATTCCGCCAGGATGGACATGCGTGGATCTGTTCTCGTCGCATGCCACCAATGCCACTGGGATCACTTGGCGCATAAAAAGTCGCAGCAGCAGAATTCAAGACATGAAGTCTACCATTATGTCGAGGGCAGCTAGCAGCAGGGACATCTTCGGGGTTGCAAGGATCGTTGCGAAAGAGTTGCGAAAACAGAAAATGACGGATAAGGCGTCGCAGGTATGGTACATTGACCTCACTTGCTAGTTCTGGTACAGTCTGTGCCCGTGTTCGTTCTAAGAAAAACCTTGGTGAGTATTAAAACCGACACGTTAGAACATCACTTACGAGGAGACCTTGCAAGCTTTACAAACGAGAGCAGTACAGTCAGGCCGTCAACAACTTCACCGTCATCAACATCATCTTCTGCCTGTGGCACGATAACAGGGGCATCTGGATTATCTTCAAGGATGACAGCTGCATATTGAGTATGCAAAATGATAAGACTAGATACAAAAACTTACGCAGAGCGGCCACAGCTCTTGATAATACAGAGCCAATGAGCATCCCACGAGCAGCGAAGTCTACGCGAGATGCTGCGAGTTTGTCGAGGCGTTGGTTAGCCAAAAGCATTTGTCCAATGGCGTTATGCTTGCTAGACCACCTCCAAGGTTGTTTCACGGCCTTAATGTGCTTGGATTCCGTGATCGACGAGCACAATCCATTCGGCGCACCAAACAGTCGGATCATGTCCGCATAGTGGGTCATTGAGTGCTGGCGGGGTAACGAGAAGTGAGGGACTGTGCCCGTGGTTTCGAAGATCTGGCGGTAGTGGTGAAACCGAGCAAGCGCGTCTTTGAGTTGATCCAGAGAGGCTTCAGTAATTACGTTGCGTCGTGCGATATAACAAAATTCTAAAAGCGTGCGAAACGCACGCACCATGTCTTGAGGTACATGGCCTTCGATAGCTGGGATGAAGACCTTCATAAGGGCTTTGGAATCGTTCCCCGTCCATTGTTTAAAGCCGCGGCCGTCAGGAAATCGCCGTAGACCAGCGAATGGCGCCACAACAGCAATTCTGACTCAAGGTTAGAAAACGCCGGATTAACGAGTGAGGTAGTATACCTTCGATCTATGTCGCTCATGATCTCGTCTCCTCGTTTGGTCCCATGCTCAAGTCTAAGGTACTTTACTACCCAATCCACCAAATGATCCTTGAAGGCGCCTTTGACTAGCTGGTGGAGGAGATCGAATGATATTAATTGATGGATGTCGGCTCGGGGGAAGTCATTTGTGAATGGCTGTACAAAATAGATTAGTGTATAGTTTGAGAGCGGGTGGATCACTCACGATGAGAACGCTTATGATACCGTATTCATGCCACAATGTATCCGGGTGGATATTTTCATGTATGAGGACATCTGTATGCTCTCGGCAGCGTAAGAGACCACCACCATCGAGATCTCCCCGACTTGCAAGGCATCTACAAACATCGTCAGTAAACATTGATGCTGAGTGCGACTTAAAACACACTTTGGGCACCAATTTTTAACGGTACAGGACAGCACCAGTTGCTCCTCGTAGTCGGCTATGTAGGGTCCCAGGCCAAATATAACACGTCGAAAGTGACCGTCTGCACAACGCAGGACTTCGTACTCAGTCATCACAGGCTTCAGGGTAGATAGAATTGTGGATAGTGAACGGTGAAAAAGCTGCCGGCGAAATACACGAAACGAATCGTCATGAGCATGTTGCCTATCAGCTGCGACATAGCTCAGATAAAAAATATAATTTTGAATTTTAATACACATACTTTTAGGTATAGCCAGGAAACCGATGATGACGAGAGCGTCGCGATGAGCGCGTCACACATTGTTGTGCACATTGCCGATCGAGGCATACAGGGGGTAATATTCATTATTACCTGTGCCCACAGAAACGGTGGTCTTGTCGCTACCAAGAATTATCGGAATGAACATCGATCCATGTGTGTTTGGATCCTTCGATATCTCGTCCTAGTGGATGTCAGGATACCCCAAGTCACAAGGAATACATGAAATACATACAGCTTGTTGCCATGCCCAGTCCGCAGACATAAAGTCTCTCCATCGGCGTGTATCGTCCAATGCATCATACTCCCGAAATGGCGCATAGTCAATCTCACCCTTGTAGGTAGGGTTCGCTAACATGTTATGCGCCATCATGTGGGGGTCTCTGTACCAGACCTCGTATTCTCTGTCCATCCACGGAGGAGCATCATGTTCAGGGCGTTCCCCTGTGTATTGAATCGAGAGACATTGCCAAGTGACATTGCCAAGTTGTGTGGCGTCGATGACCTTGTGCAAATCCTTGTGATCCGCGAATGGAGGGTGGTCGTCGTGTTTCAACAGCTGCACAGCCATTAAGTCGAGTAATAAGTCTGTAGCTTTGTTAGACATATGGCTTTGTTTGAAAACAAACTCTGCCGTTGCAAATTCAATATCGTTACGATACGGGCTCCAGTCGTGAGGAGACTTCGGTGGGACAGGAGTTGGTGGTGTGCCAGGGGGCAGAAACACGCCGTCAGCTGTGCATGGTTGTCCTAAGAGCGTGTCAGAATCAGAACACGTGAAAAGTGCAGATTGAAAGGTACTTACCATTGAGGAGCGAGTGATACGTACGATAGTAACGCTTGCTCGCATCAGTGAATTCTGAGTCTGGATCCTCATCGTCAGCCATTGGACCAGGTGGTGATCGGGGAGGCGAGAAATCAGGAGGGGGTGGCGAGAAATCAGGGGGGGGTGGCAGGAAATCAGGGGGAGGCGACTGAGGTGGAGATGGAAGCTGTTGCGGTTGGGGAAGATCCAGAGCAGGTGCAACAGGATGGGACGCGTGCATGTGTTGAGTGCGGCCAGAGATGTTTCGAAACCAGCGCATACAACCTGGAGATAGGCATGGAAACTGAAGGGCACGGTGAGTAGACCGGTTTCTGCGCATCATATGAGTAGTGTTGATGCAACGTATGGACCTAGTGAAGGTTTAAAACCAGCCGCTAATATTGAAGAAAAAATTACCCTTGCAAAGGTGCCGTTGGAACGAAAATGTGCACTACCCCAGAAAGGGTTTGTTAAAATGGACAGTTATGTCATCGCACCACCGGAAAAGTTCTGGTGAACATTGATGACGGTCACCCCACCACAGGAAAGGTTCTGGTGAACATTCCCTAGGCTATTAGACGTCATTATATCACCGGAAAGGTTCTGGTAAACATTGATACTCACCGTACTTAAGGTATTTCAATCCGGGACATGTCATTTTGTTGAGCACATTGTGCTGAAAAGCGCTGGCGAATATTGATGCTCCGGATGTTGCAATCGACCCTCAATTCAATACGTTAAGAAATATTATTCAGAGTCAGCTTTGGCTACAAATTTTAGAGTGACGAAACTCACCTTCAACTTGGTAACCCACTGCCTTCAATTTTCGTCAGCCTACAAAACCGTCTATCGATAGAATGTCTCAACCTGACGCAGTTACAACGCGCATGGGGACTCGACCTAAGAACGCAACTCAGCATCCCGGGCGCATTTTAATCAATAGTCGTGGAAAGAAGCGTACCACTGCTGAGAAGGCCGCTGACGACCAACGTGAAAGGGAGGCAAAGGAGGCAAGTGAAAAAGCTGTACAAGAAAGTTATCAGCGTATTGCTACTTTGCAGGCACAGATGCAGGCTGACCAAGATGCTATGCGTGTTGACGCACCTAAGCCTAAGCGTCCTCGTGCACGCCCGGTGGGGAAGGCTGCAAAAGACTTGAAGACCTCCGACTCGACTATGGATGATAGGCAGGCAGGAGCAAAAATCGTCGCCGATAAGCCTCTTGTCACCAAAGGCAGGGGTCGTGTGGGTGGAGCTAAAAGGTTAGCAGCTGATGCTAGCGTCGAAAATCCTGCAAGTGAGGATGAGGATGGGGACCCGGTCCAAACCAAAAAGAAGAAACTGGCAGTGAGAGAAGCAATTCAAGCAGTATTAAACGCTGGCATCGTTATCGACTCAACAAAGGCACGTGATGGAGAAGTTCAGAAGACGTCTGATGTGTGAGTTTGTTTATCTATCAGTAACTATGATGATGCTTCTTTTGACTGAAACTACTCTTTTTTTTCTCGATATCACGACATACGATTCTGATGCTACAAGTTCCCAAAAATTTGCACTTGCTGGACATGTCCCAGGGTGGCTGTCGAATCTTCCCGCGACTGCCTCAAAGCCAGCCGCATCGTTGAGGGGGAATCCTTCTACATCTTCCATTCAACCACGGACCAGTTACTCTAAGCTCACAAAGGGGAGCACCATCAGCAGCAATGTTCCGCCCCCACTCACACCCATCAGTACCTCAAATGCTGGAGGCTTTACAGAGTTCAATATGTACGCGTCTGATGAGGACGAGGATGACGAGGAGCTCGCAAAACCTCTTTCTCATATTACAAGCAACAAGGCTTACGCGGTGAGTCTGATTCTATCTATTTAAATTCTACGTAGTTTTAACCACAGCTGCAGGGTATTATGATTGTTCCCAAAGCTCTTGACGGTGTAGTACCTTCAGATGTTACCTGTCGCGGTGCAACCGAACAGCCTGATCCGATTGAAGATGCGGACGACATCGATGTCTTCACAGACATCCGCGGCCACTTTATAGATTCTGACGGCGCCGGCCCTGCTACACAACCTGATTTTCTAAGGGAGTATAAGGCCAATGATGATGCCAATCACGAGCTACAGTCCTTGGACCGTGATTCTGACCTTGAACCTCCTCCCCTCGCCCAAAAACCTAGGTCCCGCTCCACCCCCCCAATGGATTTTGACTCCCTGGCGAGTCAGAAGCGGAAGCTGTCACCTCCTCTGGACTATGACGACATAATGGAGCTGTCATCCGAGGCCAAAAGTGTGCAGGGTGCCAATGAAGATGTGAAGACCGAACCTGTTGACCCAGTGTTCACGCGCCAGGTGACCTCTACAGTAAGTTTCGGTGTCTCATACTACATTTTACTGATTACAAGATATTAGACTAACGTTGCTGTCACGCTCAAAGCCCCTCCAGCAAAGCGGCTGAAGTCTGAGTCCTCCGCTCCTTCCAAGCCAATTGTACGCTCTGCGTACAGGAAGAAGCATCTTCCTAAGGGTTGTCAGGTGGGAAACAAGTGGGCACGACAGTTCATCCCTACCGTCATTCGCTGCATCGGCGATCTAGATGAAGTATGGACCCTTGCAGATGACGTTGTCTGTCCTATCTTGCAGTCAGTCTGGAATGCAGTCTACAAAGGCAAGATTCCACACACGGTTGAAGCTGATGGGCCTGTCCTTTGTCGCGCTCGTTATGTCTCATTGCCGCCTCCATTCGTCACGCTCGTTATGTCTCGTTGCCGCCTCTGTTTGCTTTGTCGCGCTCGTTATTAATCTACTTGCTAGTCCTTATTTTTCTCCTTGTTCAACCTTTTATCTACTTAATCCTCTTGTCCGGTTGAAATGCAATTCTTTTTCCTGGTAACAAGTGTGAACAAGTGTGAAAAAGTGTATATAGTGTGAACAAGCTAAAATAAGTGCGACATAAGGGGATTGTAATGTAGCTCGTTCTAAAAATAAGTGCAAAAAGTGTAGGACAAATGAAAAAAAGTGCGAAAATGCTCAAATCAAGAGGAAGGGATCTTCTTGGCAGCTTGTTGCTCCTTGTGACAAGGAGGTGTTCTGGTTCTTGTCCGCTCTTGGGTGAGAAAAATAAGAGCTTAAAAGGAAATTAAGCAATTCGTGAATTTACTGATGGCCTGCCAGCATGTATGCGCAGGGGTGCAATACCTTTCAAAAATTTTCCTTAGCACCGACATTCTCGGATCCGATCGAGTTGGTGATGTCGTTGCACTTGCTGAACATGGGGTGATGCTTGCAGGGGCGCGCCTGCGACACCAATAAGCATAGGGACTTTCATTCGGTGTCTCAAGACCAGCATACTCGAGTGCAACGGAGTATATGCAAATGTCAAAACTTGAACCACCCCCTTCTTATGCTAGCAACCTCATCCTACTCTTCATCCCCCCAAAGTCTATCAGGGCTGTCCCTCGCGGTTGGATAGGCACATAGCGACAGTGCGTGAGCGTACGGTACAGCAACACAACGTGATCAATGACATGATGTGTTGGCCCTTGGTTTGTATGGCAGATGTTTTCAAGGTGAGGTTTGGTCAAGACTCGAACAACTCAACGATCTGACACGGGTTTACAAACCTAAAGCTCGCGCCTCTAGTCATTGAGATCCATGGATTCACTTGGGAAGTGCCCTCCTTGTCGGTGCTGTCCCTCAAGCAGGTGCCGATAACGTATCCTCTTCTAGATGCGAGCATCACCGTATCGTTCGGTTAAGATGATGATGCACGGAAAGGGCTCATACATGGGGCATGTGTGGCGATTCAGCAACAGATGTCGATTTTGTACGGTATAATGAATATGTGCTTAGCATATAGAAGTGGGCCCAATATCTTGTGCTTCTCGGTTCGTCTATCTCAATTGTCACTATCGTAAACCACTTATACATGGCACCCTAGTTCTGTCTCTTCGGGTTGTCCCACGTTCACAAATTGCCGTACCTCCGAATGCCAAGAGTTCACACTATGCATAGCCCAACCTCTCTAGCCACTGCAGATGACCCTGTAACTAAATCTAAGGAATACACGGACTCGTGGTACTCTACATGTCCACAATCAAGCGAACGTTGTGGGCGACGGTCATCGACCTTCACACCCACGTTGCAAATTGAAGATTTTACACTAACCTTTTTGGTGACTGAGGAAGAGAGCGTGAAGTTCAAATTTTCAGCTCCCGCAACTGCAATTTCTACGTGGAGTGCACAGATGTCACCTTTTGATATACCCAAGCACTGGATAGTGGTATACGTATATATAGCGCGAATGTCATCGTCATACGTCCACCCAGTTCGCCTTTCACCTACACTTATTCTCTACTAACATGACCATAGTTTCAGATGGCCCCACTTGGTGGCCGATCATCAATGCAAATCGTTTTGTAAGTTATTTTTTAGGTTCGTGGAGAGCAGTTAGATGTTGAAGCTACTCGATCTCACCTTGGCTGCGGTTTCGCAGTTGCCGCCTTTGTTGGAGTGACATATGATTGGGGTGAGCATGATAATATTGCAGCACTGTTGATGTCTTACGAGTATTTTCAGCACTTACCTTCGGACAAGAGGTATGTCAATGCTATGATCGGAGCAGCTCTCACTAAGAATCCTTTTATAGGTTGAATTGGTCTGGGTGAGTAAAGTCTCATGTCAGAGGAACAATTATGCAAATAAACTTAATTACAGAGGCAACGCTGGTCCCTAATGACAGTTCTGTATCTCGGCGTGTGTAGCTTGTTTGTCACGGTTTTCATGAACTGCTGACTCGAAAGTATTTCAGGTCCGCTACCTTGGAATCATACATACTGCGTATGTTCAGAAGGCTAAACAGTCGATGTTATATTAATCGTCTATATCTTACAATCAGGCTGGACATGCTGAGTACGTCTCCTTAGTATATTTGCTGTCTTTGCTTCTTCTGACCAACAGTATACAGCCAGTGTTCCGACCATCTGGCTGACAGATACAGTGAGTCTTCTGCACAGATGCCTACTATTCACCTCCAGTTAACCGTGGTGCCCTGCAGGAGTGAGTGCGGTCCTTTACTAACTTCTTGGTTCCCTAATGACTGTCACGCCATACTTCCACAGATGTGAGTGTGTTTAGAGTGTGCTACCCGAGGCCAATCACTGACTGGATTCGCCAGGCTGGATTGTGTGCGTCGTATGGAATTGGACGGGTGTTGTGGTTTGCAATGCTGTGGGGTGAGCTTGGGACCTGTGAGACCTCGGTGATATTTTTCTGACTGAAACATGCTGCCAGTCATCATCATCACTCGGTTGTATGCCATGTATCAACGATCCAGAAAGATACTGATATTTCTCATCGTCACCTTTCAGGCTGCCAACATTTCTAACAGAGTGGTGGGCGTACTGACAATGAAGCATACTTTGGGAGGTACGCTTGATTATGATAAAAATACACGTGTATGGGGCTCAATGATGAATACAAGAGGAACTCGATCTCTCCGGCGCTTATCAGTGCTCGTTTGCCTATGCACAAGATGTCCCACTTCTGTCTTCCATTACTTGGATACTCGGCACCGTGTGGGAGGTACTCGCACTAGGTCTCGCAGTCTCACTTCCGTGAACTGCGACAACATTCGGCAGGAGGGATTATCGGGGACTGTTTCACGGTGTTGATGAGAACTCACATGGTTTACTTTGCTAGGTAAGCTCATGTTGCGATTATTGTTTCTTCTTTCACTGAAGGGTCGGACGTCCTAGCTTTATTGCCGTCTCTTGCTTCGAGCTTGTTCTTGATTTCTCTCCAACACTCTCAACGGTACGTCGATGTTTCACTTACGACCTCTCCATGCTACCATTGTTTATCGTTTCTACTATAGGAATCTTCTTTGAACGCTCTACTTTTTGCCGGCTTTCTTCAGATTTTGCAGGTCGCGCAGTTTGTGCTAGGACCACGCCTGATCCTTGGTGTTCGAGAATATCACACCAAGCTGGTGGCCGATTCGGACGCAGCAGCTGGTATGGCCTCAATCGCTTTCCAGGAACGCGTGCACATATCGACTGGCAGTAGTGTGTAACTATCGGTGAAGTTAATAGCTGTCTGGTGCTCTACGAAGAGCAGGGGAATTTACTTTCACTTATTCTCACTTTTGTAATGGTATTGATTTGTGTTACAAAGTAGATTCCAAGGAGACATACAAAAATTTTGTCGTAGCATTTAGTCAAGTGATCTTCTGTGTGTTCCGATAATGTCTCAATCAATGTTCTAGATGTCTCTACAGTAGCACCCGCTGCCCACCGCGCGTGCACAAACCACTGGTCTTTCTTTTCTGTGTGATGGCAATAATTCCTACGTTTGCGTGGGCGAATGGGCGTACGAGAGCCAAGTAGAGCGACAGCGCACTACTTCAGTTCCTCAGCAATCCGTCCTCGATTCATCATGCTTCTTGCCTCATTCAATATCCCATTTTTGTCTTCTCACCCGACTCACGCCAACTGGCTTACAGGAGATTCACTCAATGTATGCAGGGCAAATCGTCTCGTCGGTCAAGTGCTGTAAGCTTCCAAAAGTCGATACTGGTGACCATCCTCGTTTTCCATATGTTTTCGCGTTCCGACAGAATCCAGAACTTGAGATCATTTTGTTCCTTCTCTGCCGTTTTCTGGGCCTTCGTCGAAGGTTCAACTGACTTCACTCACATGTACTAAGGTTAGAGAGAAGGTCGCGCTTTTGAGACATATCGAGAAGCATTGGGGTCCTGTAGGCAAGTGTTTTTGTCGACTTGGTAGACTGATTCGCTACCTACTTGATGTTCGGAGCCAATCTACATATGTATTTGACGACAAAACGGAAGGAATACACTACTGATTATCATAGGTATACTGATATTCTGAGTCGAGGAGGGTGGGTCACCCTAGGGCGGCACACTATCAGGTGCGCACCTATCAGATAGACCCTCACGCGGAAGTCACATCCGCGCACCCAACCTGGTTATAGGACGTGTCGAGACCTTCTGAGACTGTGGTGAACAGGAATGAAAGAGACAAGCGGTTCAACTGGTGTGGGAACATTAAGTTTTGATGGTGACCTATTACTCAGCTTGTTGATAATCCGGGTTGTAAGATGAGATAGAGCGGTTCTGATAAAATGTGGAAGGAATGAGTCGAACGAGAGTGGTTTTGCCGAAGCAGGCGAATATACAATCACTGGTCTGCATTATGGATAGGCATTGAACCGATTCGTCGCGCTCCACCTGAGCAAGAATAATCTGCATGGAACCATGACTTCTGAGCGGGAGTCAGATCTCCGGGCAACATAGAACAAACTTTGGCTGCAGCAGAATTGAATGCGCCCAACACCATCTTTGCACATAGATGCACCTATAACTTGATTAGTTCGCTACCAACAAATGAGAGTAGCCCATACATTTGCGATCTTCTCAATGGCAGCGTCAAAAGATTTCAGGCGTTGGAGGTATGTGGTGTTGAAATCACTTACGGCAGCAAAACCTGCTGGGGCAATGCTGGCAGCGCATGTAGTGTTTTCACGTGTTCTGCATCCTCATGGGCACCCTGAAGTTCGACATGAATCGATTTAGGATCAGGAGTTTCCTGTGCGCCAGAGGGGATGTCGGGAACCTGCACGACCAACAAATTAGAGACGAAAAATAGATAAATTAATGGGAGTACCTTCAAAGCAGGTTCTCCGGATGTGCCTTGGTTGACGCAGCCACAGCTGTGATGAGATGCTTGTTGTCGGTGAATGGATGCGGTTGTGATGTGCCGCCCTGTGCGCCTCTGATATCAAGCTGACCTGAGATTACGATTTCGAGTGCTTACCTCGATATTTCGATTTAATGAAGCGTCTTTAAGTTCGGCACTCTATATCTCAGGATTGCGGTTGCGAGAACACTTGGAGTGTTTCTGAATAATATCAGTCATGTTCAAAACCAGAACACGAACAACTGAGCAACACACTCACGGAAATTTTCTTGGTGATGCATTTCGCAAATTTCCGCATGGCCCACTGGCGGATTCTACTACAGGTTGGCTCTGGTGGAATAAAACGTCAGAGGCGGCAGTAAATTTCATGAGTGTTCATCCGGCGAGTGAGCTGATGAGACGACCTACTGAACTTGGCCGCCAGGTTGCTGCAGGAGGATCTGGCCTATTATAATGGTCTTCACTCGGCGCAAGCCTTGATCGATTAGTCTGAGCGAAATAGAGGTGTAAGCAGTTGGGAAAAGGCAGGCGACCTCTGCTAGCCTTATTGTTCCTACTAACATTTTGAACCTGTGTATTCACATACCTAATAGAGCCGACGTTGGCCATTCACCCTCGCTGATAAATCCGACTTCAAAGGAGACGTTGACAATGATCCTACCACCCGCATGTCTGATACTGCTCTCCGAAAAAAGAAAAATGCGAACGCCCAAGCCACCTTCCGCCAGAGGTGAGCCATACGTTCTCGAACCCCTGCCAAGTTAATTCACATGTCTTTGAGGCGAGCAAACTACATAGCGACTCTTGAAGAGACAGGTTAGGTTATCCCTAGCTTATTCTACCTTCATAGCTCATCTTTTTTATATGTGGCAGTCACCAGTCTGGAGTCTGTCCTCCTCCAGCTTCAGGATTCATGTCGTGAAGCACGATCCGAAGCTGGGGATCTACAACAAGACAATGCGCGCCTTAGACATGAATTGCGCGAACGTGAGAGGTTCTGGAGAGCCCTTTGGCCGGCGAAGAAGACAGAAGAGGCTCCTGAATCTGACGACTTGCCCCTGCTCCCTTCACGTTTTGCTTCTCCGAGTCATCCTCAACGAACCAACATCAACAATCGTACCTCCTCGTCGCATGGTCATTATAGTGATGATATCAAGGGATATCAGACCAGCGATGAGACGTCTAATTCCCTTGGCAGCAGCTCGTATATCAGCGCGCCGACTCACTCATACGTGACTCAGTCTCCTGCACTTTCTTACACCAACGTGGAGACCGAGCAGATAACCTCCGGTGGAGCTGGGCACCATACGAACGCCCGAGTATCAAGATATGGTTCTTACTCGTATCTGATGCAACCTATCAATGGGGACGGACCATGTATTCACAACGCAGCGCAGACACTGTCTGCTAATGGTTAGTTAATACTCCTGCTACAAATCTTATGACTTATGATAGAGCTTCTAGGCTCTCCTACCATGACATCCTCTGATGTATATGCAAACTGCCATTTTGAAGAGCAGAAGACGCAACTCAATCACTTAGAAACGACCTCATATCTCTTTCCTAGTAGTGGTTCCATCTCCCCCACGTCATCCACTCCTGCATCCTCGTCTAGCATGTCCTTGACGTCTCCATTCCAACTGATGCTCCCTGCTGATGGCACGATCACGCAAGGTCGCGCAGAATTTGATTATCGCAGGTACTCCAATACCCACGGTGCTTATTTAACCTTACATGGAGGCACTGCCGATATTTCGCTTCCAAGCATGGGCAGCGATGGCGTGTGTTACAGACTTGGGCCCTGTCGTGCGAGTTCTGGGCCGAGTCCACTACTACCCTCCCTTCCTCAGCTCTCTGGAAGCAAGAACAGCTTGCATCATGAATGGGGCGGTAGCGAAGGTGGAGCCGCCTCCTATTCGAAACTCCAACCTCGTAGGAGACGTTCTCGGGAGTTGAGGTCACCTTCCCCTGGTGCACCTCCAATCCCAGGTACGCTGGCGGTTATCAAAGCTCAATATTTTGGAACGCTCCGTCGAATTCGTACCAGAACCTAAAAACTTCTGAAGGGGCGACCAAGGTTGATATGGAAGTTCTCGAGGCCAGGGGCATCAGAATGGGCGTAGTGACTGGCTCGAAGCATACTCACCTTCACCACGATGATTCTGACATCCAAACATGATGCAAATGTACTTTGCAACGATCACCAGTTCACTCATTTGATCCCTAGGGATTGTATCATTCTTCTCGTCACCAGCGGACTAGGATTATAACCACCATTATTTGTACAGCAATTTAAGTCTAAGATCCCAGTTACTTACTGTATTGCACTTACTCCACAAAGGTGTGCTGCATAGTGTCACATGTAATATGTTATCATATGAGAAATTAAATTTCTATCACAAGATCCGCACTGTGTTCATTCTGCAGAGGAGGTAATGATTTTTTTAAATCTGTTGTATAACCTGATGCTCATACGCTATGAACGTTGGTGGATTGCAGAAACAACTGAAGTTGCTTATTCCTAATGTGCGCTCGGATTATAGTTTTTCTGATGCGGGATAACGGCAGAGTTTGGAGTCGCCAAAGCTGTGGACCTCATCCCAGACGGCGGCAGCAATGTCCGAGTCACCCGGGAGAATCGACTGCAATACGTCTACCTTGCTGCTCACTACAGGCTGAGTGAGCAGATCAAGCTCTACAGCGAGGCATTCTTTGAGGGGTCTTTCTGATATGATTGACCCCAAATGGCTTCGGTACGATTTCACGACCCTCCGAGTCTCTGTGGTGATTAACATAATACGCGGCCACTCCACCAGCATTGTAGCAGGGTGAGCGGAGGAGTATCTTGGGCTCTTACCTTAATTGTGGCCTTGATACTCTGGAAACCGCGGGGCGCTATGGTATATACAGCAGGTCGTTCAACCAGTTTGAGGTCACCGAGTATTGGGATATCAAGACAAATATTCTGTAGCGTATTAGGCGCCTGGTTGACCAGAAAGCACGTCTGAGTACCGTAAATGAGTGTCACCGATAAAATAGCTCATCCAAGGAAGTATACATACCAACCATAATATCGAATCCATGCATTTTGACGTATGCCTCCACATATGTGGGGTCCGAAAAACCTAGAAGTGATGAGTACTGAAGCATGAGATGATCGTGGCACGACAAGACATACCTGTGAGCTGGGGTATGCGACCGAGGTTGTATATGAAGTCTTCCTGGACTTCAGCAGCCCCCGTTGCCTTGCCCAGGTCCTCAAAGTACTGTACAACAACATGAGTGGCGTTTAATCAACCAATAAAAAAAGCTTACATCGATGAGATCATCTGCCGATTTCTTCAAGAACTGCCTGAAAGTAAGCAAGTCATCGACTTGCACGACATGTTTCTTCGTGCTTTCCGACTCTTTCTTCTCCGCTGCCTTTTTCTGTCCACTCATCAGTAACATCACGACTTGAAGTTAACTAAGTACGTGCACCTCCTGAGCAACGAGCATCTTGGAGTATGCTGCTTTCGTGTCTTTCAAGAAGATATCGTGGACAATGGACTTTTCCTGGAACTCGCTTAGGGTGTGTATACAATTAGGAATGGACTCGTTGGAATCTTCGTTGATTGGTACCGTGGGTAAAATTCGACTGGCCCGACATGGATAATGGACATCATGATCAACATGAACTGAGTAGGCGTCAGTGAATGCCATAGAAACATTAACAGTAGTACGTACCTCAGCACGGAGAGCGTTGGCCTTTAACCAATCATCTGTAAGGTCATCAAACTGCAACGCCAGCTTCATCAATGCCGAGGCGAATACTGAACCTGTGAAAACTCGACTCCCAATATGAGGGTTGAAATCATATCATTAAGAGTTCTGAACAGATGAATGGGCACGCCACGCACCTCTCAATGGCGGCTTGGACGCAGCCTTGACAACCTCTAATCTTGCTGAGTCGGCGCTGGTGTATGCCGTCACCGTCGCATATGTCCCGTCAGCAAGCACATTTGGCCGCCCACTCCCCTCAACCTTATCCTCCTTCTTATCCTCCTCTCCACCAGCCTCATCCAATAACCGCTGCTCGCTCGCAAAAATCGGGATCTCACCAAACACTTTGCAGATGTCCTGGAATGTGGCTTGGATGTCTGACAGACTTTCGACATACTCGCCCAGAATCCAGAGGACGCCGCGGAAAGCTTTGCCAGATTTGATCTCTGAGTGAGCTTGTCGCATATGGACTGCCGGAGGTGTGGGAACTTCTCTACCACTTCACTGTGGGTGTGTTAGTGAAACAGGATGTGGGCACTAGGAGGGGGAAAACAAACCAGATGAAGGCAACGACGTCCAGCACTGAGGGATTGTTCAAGTCTCCGAGGAATTGCATCAGTGCGTGGACAACGCTGGCAGCTACCTCTGAAAACTTGACCGCTAATGCGTGGATCAGCTGGATCAGAAGCTGTCTGTACTCTGGGGCCTGTCCCAGGATTAGTCCATGGTAACATACAGGACTGTGAGACCAACCTTCTGGAATTCACGCTCCTGTGCCCGCTGTAGCTGCCTCTTAAGGAAGAGAACAACATCCTCAATGTTTTGACTCGAGGTCATGCTGAATACGATGCTCCTAGCTTTCCTTCGGACGTCCATGTCGGTGCTGATATAATGACTCAGTAGATGTTTTCAGGTAGTGATTGATCACTGTTCGTACCTTGATTGGACTATCTTTCTGTTTGTGCGTTTGTAGGCCTGTAGACTGGCAATACATATGGCATAGAACGGCCAAGGATTCACCGTGAACATCATCAGCGAGGTATTCGTCGAGAATGCAAATGCAACTGCTATAAACGCTCCTCCCGGCTTCGACGAGTGGACTCTCAGCGGTATGACAAAAGAGAAATGCGTACACGTGCATGTTCATGATATGATACATGCGCTAACGACGTGCTCAGGTGCAAATAAAAGCCGCCCGCATCAAGGAAAGCGCTTTTAGCATGGAATGCGAGGTAATTTCATTTCACGCCAAGCCCGCTCGTTCGCTGACAACGTCACCTCTCAACAGCTCTACAAATCATTAGATATCATTCACCCAGTCACAGGCGACCACACCGGCACGCTCATCCTCGCGCACGTCAAGTACATCCACGCCCGCAAAGATGTGCTCACAGACAAAGGTGTCATCGACCTCGCAAAGTTTAAGCCCATCGCGTGTTTGGGAGACATCTCATATGCCCAGGTTGGAGATGCATACAGGATCACCCGTCCATCATGGGCGCAGGAGGAGGCGAAGATACAGGAAGCATTGACGACTCGCACATCACTGTGAAATAGAATGAAGGAGCCATTTTTTGGTAAGATGTACTGGCAATGGTAATAGATAATTAATGCGTGATCGAGGATTTCCTATCCCTGAACTGGTAGACCTTCCTTACGCGCCATTTGACTTTCAAGATAGACAGCAAGTATGGGGAATTGGGACGCTGACGATACGGCACACCCATCATTGCGCCTGATTCGTAGTAGCATGAAATTATCAGTGCGAGCCGATTTATACGAACCGTCTTGGTCGAGGAAGGAAAGCCAGCACATCTCGCTCTGAAGTATGTATGGTATACGAGGGCCCTTCAATCTTCTTCAACACGACGCCTATCTTCAAAACTGCGACAGGGTGTATACCTTCTCCGTGATCTTTGAATGGTCAGACGGGCATGGAGCTTGGGATAAAAAGCCCCGTTTTACTAGAAGCTGAGGTGGGCTTGGTAGAGGAATCTAATACTGAATTAACTTGCCTCGAGACGCCCAGGACATGAGGCTGTTATCATAAGCATCTTGAAGATGTCAATGCAAGCGCCTGGACATATCCAACTGACGTCGCCACAGCTTTCCGTATGTAACCCAAAGAGTTCTTCCAACCTCTGTAGCGAGGATTTGCATGCTTTAGGTGTTGATGTGGAGGAAGACGAAGAAGGAAATCAATGCTAACTTACGTTGATTTCACCTTATTCTCTCAAGCGCCCTTCTGCAACCCGGCCTTTCGTGAGATGAGATGACGAGGGGGTCGGGAGTCAGCGGCAAAGTACATACAGAAAAGTACCTTTGATAGCGGCACTTGTGAAGTACCCTCCAGCAGAGTGCCCTTTTGTAGAGGCCACTCTCTAAGACCATCTCATCAAAAGCTCATAAGCTCAGCTGAAGATATGTCTTTCGTGGACAATATTAAGTCGTCAAAACAGAGTGCGGGAGGGTAGCGACGGTTCGCCAACCTGACAGCTGCCTCGTGAGATGCGGAAGCAATCAGATGGTGGCATGGATGACATCACCGACCTGCTTCCAAGTCAATGGATTCCATCGTGGTTCCTGTATTATGGGATCATATTCACCTGAGGAGATGAATGGGGTCCATGTCTTACTAGGGTGTCTAAGGAAACACAAGGCAAGTCAATGGGGTGAAGCAATATAGAAACGCACGATATACGCACCTCTGCAGCCTAAAGAAAGACACCCACAATCCCTCCAAAATCTACGTCGGCCGTGCACCACATCGTCAGCATCCAGTAAGATGTCGAAGCTCGTTTCAAATACCGCACTCCGTTGGGTCGTTGAAGATCATGAGAGCGGTGCAACCGCAGTCGCAGGTTTTCCGGATAGATAACGTATGATGACAAGCTCGTATGATAAGACGCTTCGGTCGTGGGATTTGAAGACAGGTGTTGTGTTGAAAAATATGGAGGGGCATCGCAGCGAGATGCAGCCATTAACACTGGCGATGGTGAGGAGATTCCGAGGCTGTACCACGAAATATGGTTGCATCTTGTGCACACAAGGACCTTGGGAGTCTGTTGGATGGAGAAGTGATATTGCAGTAAGCTATATACGTGCGTTCGAAGGAGTAACATGTTGATAAGCTGGAGTATCTGCTAGATACGAAAAACAACGGTATTCATGCAGGATAGACACTCAGATTCGAGCGCTGGAAAGCACGGACTGCTCGACTTGATGCGATGGGATACATTCTGGAAGTTGCGAAGACAAGAGTCGGACGCATGTATGCACTGCAGATGTGCATACCGTCGAGGACAGCGGGTATGACAATAGGGTGGGTGCATTACGGTGATGGAGGCGTGGGCACAAACAGCCTTAGATCATCTATTGAAATGAGGCAAGCTGTGAAGCACCATAAAACGCACCATACACCCTCTGCAGCTTGAAGAAAGACATAATCTCTCCAAAGTTTACCCTCGTCCGTATTCCATACCGTCAATATCCAGCAAAATGTCGGAGTTCATTACAATCACCACTCCAATGGAACAGTGCTGGCCACTGGTTCATATTACGAAAAAACGACGAAACTGTGGAATACCAAAACCTGCGAGTTATACAAGGAGATCCGATTAAGTGTCAATTTGTCAACTGCGTACGGTATTCACCATAGTGTTGTTGGCAAAACAGCCGAGTTTTGCCAACTGGTTGTGCCAGACCGGTTGTGCCCGGTGATCGGCAAAACTCATGCAAAACAGGGGTGGCACAACTTGGCAAAACTCGCAGAGATGTAACTTAAATCTGATAAAATATACCTTAAAATTCAATAGAACATCATCCCTAAAGCAATATGTTCCATGGTGGAGGACACCCACTTGCATCATTGATGAATATGGACAATTTCGAGCGCCTAGAACTCAAGGTTACACTTGGCATTCAAGTTGCAAAGTGCTGAAATGACTGGGATATAATGATAGCGAAAACACTTTCTGATAACCTGCAGCCCTACATGAAATTCACATACTCAAGGCCTTTACTGTGATGATTCTCTCAATTCCAGAGTCATGCAGGCAAAGTAGAGCGCACATTCTCTGATCACATAGCCTACACACTTGAGAGGTTGGCATTGCTGTTGAGAGTGCACAGGATCTTGAAGTACTTTTGTGTGGGCTCCGCTCTTGACCAAACCTTGTGACACAGATGACATCCTGCCACAGACTGAAGAAGTTTGGAACATTAACGAAGTTGAAGTGCTGGAGGAAAATGCCTTTGATTTCGATGATTGATGTCTTCATTAGGAATGTCATACACATATATAGCCTAGAGTTTCGCCACCTGGCAAAACAACCAGTTTTGCCAGTTTTGCCGGTTGCAACCGGCAAAACTGACCCCAAGTAGTTTTGCCCCCCACACTAATTCACCATCGACCAAAATATTCAAATTTACAATTCAGGCACCAGGAAACACGTCACATGGCCCCATCCTTCGAGGGTCACAAATTATTGAACTCGTCACTTGCATGGACGCCCGATGCTGCACGTGCCTTCTCACAGGCGGTAATAGGGTAGTCGATTGATCTTGATCAGCCAGCCAACAAGCCGGTCAGCAACCACTTCATTGGAATGACTTCACGTAGTATAATGAGCTGCATTTCTCATTCGAGCCGTTCTCTCGTACCACCATGATTGCCCAGCAGGATGATGAGGAGACACCTCTTCCATGGGATCAATTTTGGATTCTACTGCTCTTGGAGATGCCAGATTTTCTTTTTTCTGGGACCCTTGCCCCGTTTATTCCTCAAGTGAGTATATTCCCTTCGTTGGACTTATATCTGATCACAACTGGAACTTTGTCAAGCTCATTAGAGACATCGGAGTCACTCACGGAGATGAATCCCAGGTTGGTCGCTATGTCGGCATCCTTGTAAGCATGTCTTCATCATTTTTGTCCTTTCCTCCGTTCATGATACTATTCTCTCCAGCAATCATCGTACTATGCAGCTCATGGCCTAACCATTTTTCATTGGAGCCAACTGTCTGACCACATGGGGAGGAAGCCTGTAATACTGACAGCTCTATCAGCAATTGTTATTTCGATGTTTTCATTTGGGCTGTCGAAGACATTCTTTGGTCTGGTGGTAAGGTCAGTCTTCAGTTAAATATCAAATAGTAGTTGTGATCGTTAATTACTTGACCACAGTCGTGTTGTCTGTGGAGCATTTGATCCGAGCGATAGTATGATCAAGAGCATGCTGATGGACATCACTGACACAACCAATATGCCCAAGGCATACAGTTATATGCCAATTCCGGTGATGATCGCAACCACATAGTGATGTGCAGGGCCAGGGCTCAGGCCCGCAGGCCCACATGGCCCAGCCCTATAGAAGCCCAGCCCAGCCCAGCCCTATGAGTGGGCTGACGAGGGCCATGGGCTGGGCCCACAACATCTGCAGGCCCATACCCAGGGCTCAGGCCCGGGCCTGTAACTTACTTTCTCGGTTCGTGCCGACAGTATTGCGACAGCATCTATACAGTTAATATACGTATTTCAAATGCAGAAACCTTCCATTGACTCGGACCATACAAACCCATTGCAGTCAGAAATATGCCGGCAACAAATCAAACTGACCAAGAGCCACCATTGCGTTCTAAACGCGCACCTGCTCCCTCGAAGAAATTAACCGATGCGTCTAACACCGCTACTCCCAAAATCAGTGCACACTCTGAAGCTGTTGCCCTCAAACGAGCCGAGGATGCCAAGCGTGCATCTGAGCAATACCAGCAATGTCTACCACTACCTCCCGCAGCGGCAGAAACTTCTCACGTTCTACCACCTGGCATCAAAAGATCTCGAGATGTATCTGAGGCCGATTTGAGCTACCACTCTTCCAGTGGTGAAGACGACAATGACAGCTCGATGGCTCCGAAAAGGCCAAAGAGTATGTTGGTTTACAAATACTTATCCATGTATGTCACTCAACCTCACTTTGTGCAGAGAAGAAGTCTCGAAATGCAGCTAGTACTACCATCTTGTCTGAATCAGACTCGGAACACACTGGCTCTGGCGGTCCTTCATTGTCTACCACTACAAAGGCACCAAAGAAGAAAAACAAAGGTGCGATTTCAAACCTCATTACTGTAACTCACTCATGCAACCAAAAAATATGCAGATGCAGTTGATGACAGTGGCTTCCTTGCTGATATCGACGTCACGAGCCTTTCAAATGGCAATGACAAGCCGAGGCACGAGAATAGAGGTCAAGATGTTGATAAATTTTTCAGTGCCAAGTACTCTGAAAATGGTATTGATGGAAAGCCTCGCACTTACCGTGACTGTAAGCTATGCTCGTAAGTCTGAATCAACTTTGATGGTAGCATCGCGTCACTACTGATACACCACCACCCATACTAGCCAAAAAGGTCCGCGTAAACGATTTGTGAAGGACTTATCAACCTGTCGCCGTCACCTCGAAAAGGATCATGAGGTGTGTAGTATATTTGAGTGTGTAAAATTGCTCAATGTACATTCTAGCTTACATATAACAAATGGGCGGGCGAAAATTCGTTTGATTCAATGCTTCCGAAAGCCATTGCTAAGCGCAGAAATGACACGCTAAAGGCCAGTGCAAGTCAAACTGGTCTCGACAACCATCTACATGAGCGTCCGAAAGCTGAACGTATCTTGCCATACTCCGATAAGCTGTTCCGAGAGGCAGCAACTGAGTGGCTCATTGCCACAGATCAGGTCCGTCATTTAACTTATGCATACTTCGAACATGTTGTCTGAGCCACAGCAATTAGCCAATACAAGCACTCGACCATCCTAACTTCCATAAATTGGTTGACATGGCCTCGAGGGCCACAAATGGCGTCAAAATTCCAGATCGTAAAGTAACGCGGGCCGAGATCATTGCTATGTTTCAAAAACAGATGAAACACCTTCGTGAACGGCTGAATGTAGGCTTCATGCTTTTATTTAATATATATATACATTGTGATCACTATTTCCAGAGTAACGCTGTGAAAGGCGAGGTTAGCAATACGTGCGACGCATGGCAAGCCTCCAATATTGATGGGTACTTTGCCGTCTCTGGCCACTGGATCGAAGAGCTATCACCCGGCGTATGGGAGCTTGAAAGTGCACTATTCGGCTTTACAGTCCTCAATAACTCCCATAACGGACAACGCCTCGGTCAGGTCCTTTTCAAGATTGTTGATCGACTCGACATCTCACACAAGGTAGGGTTTAATTCTGTTGAGAGTCCTCATGTTCTCATATCATGTTTAGATTGGACACATTACCTGCGATAACGCAACAAATAACGACTCAATGATGGATGAATTCTCGGAACAGATTATGAAGAAGACGGGGAAGGAATTTGATGCGAAGGGACGCCGCATCCGGTATGTAGTCCATCAATTAATCTAGGGTGTATTAGTTTGATGCTTTGCCCAGGTGTCTTGCCCACGTTATCAATCTCGCAACACAGGCACTCATCAAGACTCATACGAAATCAAAATACTATAACCCTGCAAGCCCCGAAGAGCATGTGCCGAGTACTATGGGGCGTGATCGAGACGAAGTTGGGCTCATTCGAGCAATCTCTGTGAAGGTATATATAATTTGATTGATTCATAACTACTAACTAAACTGAATGAACAGGAACGATCATCAGCACAACGGAAACAACTTTTTAAGGACATCCAGATCCGAGAGGGTGTTGAACGCCCCCTTCAGCTGCTACTCGATATGCCTGTTCGATGGTCATCAACATTTACGATGCTAGAGCGCGCAGAAACACAACGACAGGTAAGTAATGTTAGCAGTGCCATATTTAATCCTATAACGTGTGGCATACAGTATATCAATACCTTTATCTATGAAATGGGCCTGAAGGAGCCGAACTTGGACAAGCGGAAGAAGATTGGCGAGTTAGAGCTACGGAATGATGAATGGGATGGCGTCAAACTGTTTCTCGATCTCCTCGCTGTATGTATTCTCATTTCTCATCATCTGGCTTGCTTTTCCGGTGTGATATTCACATCTTATTTAAAGCACGCAGATCACGCGCAACAAGCCTTTTCATCTGACCGACACCCGAGTCTACACCTTGCCATTCCAGCACTAGAAGCACTACATAAAGCATGGAATTCGAGACTTGCAAGACTGAAGTACGGCCACTTCAAACGACCCCTTCAAGCTGCAATAGACAAGATCACGGTTTACTATGAGAAGACTGGTGGCTCCGATGCTTATATCATAGCGATGTGTGAGTTATAACTTATTGTTTTTAGTCCTACCCAGTAATGTCTGATTGAATTGATGAACAGTACTTGATCCGAATGAGAAGATGAACCACTTCAAGAAGTATTGGGACGAGGGTCTGCAACACGAGGCTCGCGAGAATGCAGAACATATTGTAAGTTTTTAAATTATCATTGTGACAATTATTTGACACCATATGATCAGTTTCAGAAGTATTATGTGCACATTCACGGTGACGCTGAGCACCATGCTCCCATAAGGAAAGGTCGTGGATCTGGCAGCAAAGTTACTCGGCTTCTGCGGGAACTTAGTGACAATGACACGGAAGATGACGACGATGACATTTCAGCTCCATCACAGGCATCAGCATCGTCAATTGACCCACGGAAACCTTGGCTACAAGACTTCAACTACTATGTGAATATGTTTGACCAGCTTGCCGAAAACCAAACCATTGTTCAGTGGTGGGGGGTATGTATTCTTTGACGAATTCACTCAATGAAGATACTGAATCTATTGAAAGTTAAATGCAACGAGGTATGGGCCAGTTTGGACGGCTATTGCTCGCGACTTCTTAGGAATCATGGCCTCATCGGTCTCGAGCGAGCGTGCATTTTCTTCAGCTGCGCTAACAATTACAAAGCGCCGCAACCGTCTCAAAGGTGATGTTGTAGAGGCACTACAGGTAATGAAATGCCTTCTTCGTCATGACCTGGTCTTCCGCGAGTCAGGACCTTCGTCATTGACTGAAGATCCTGCAGATGAGGAGGATGAATTACTTGATGGGTGTACAGAGAACTCTGGTGAAGATAGTATGGTATGACTGGGAGTCTAGAATGATGTTACGAGTCCATGTTTCATTGTCACACAATGCTATCTGTACTGTAGGACATGTTCACTTATTTTACAATTTCAGGCCCGGGCTTCAGCCCAAGCCCAGCCCAGCCCAAGCCCAAGCCCGATGTCAGGGCTGGGCCAAAATGTTAGGAAGCCCATACCCGCTCAAGCCCAGGCCCAAGCCCAGCCCGCACAACACTACAACCACAGTTGGGTAGGCATCCAGTACATTTTATCTCGCACTGAGGTTCACAGTATCTACTAGACCACTCATTGGGGGATCACTCTCCCGACCAGCAGACAGATTCCCTGATATCTTCGGGCGATCAGAACTTCTGAAAACCTACCCATATCTCCTGCCGTGCTCTATCTCAGCATTTTTTAAATCGACAATTTGGCTAGTCACGTATATCCGTCTTAAAGAGGTGAGTGCCTGAAAGCCTATCTTTGGATCACACTAAGTGTGGTTACAAGAGCATTTCTACCACTGGCAAAACACCACTCTGGGAGCTAATTAAAGGAGGATTCATCGGACAATCATACCCGAAGCCTCGCCAGCCGTCGAGCAACGTCATAGTTGATCCGGGGAGTCCTAAAGAAGTCCAATCAAAGCCGCTTCCACTGCGCGCCTTGCTAACCTCGAAAGTGTTGAGCGTGACAGCTAGTTATGCCACCACAGGCCTGTTTCAAATGGGGTTTGGTTCGGTCTTACCTGTTTTCTATGCCACACCGATTGAACTTGGTGGTCTTTCCCTTGACCCTCCTCACATCGGTGCTTTACTTGCAGCATCAAGTATCATACAAGGCATATTCCAGATACCTTTCTACGCTCGTTTACATGATCGCTTCAGTGCAAGAGCTATCCACATCACCGGCGTTAGCTCCAGCATACCCATGGTCATTTTATATCCGGCGACCAATGCTCTGGCTCGAGTCTATGGAATAGGCATGGCTGTGTGGCTGTGTGTTGCTGTTCAGCTTATGCTGAAAATTAACTTGATCATGTGCTTCCGTATGTCAATCCAGCACTTCCTGTGTTTTGTTAACTGAGAAGAATTCATAGCCTGCATAATATCATTCATCAGAGCAGCTGCTCCCAATCGCACCTCGATCGGAGCAACCAATGGAATTGCCCAGGTGGCTGTCACAGTAGGAAGGATCGTTGGCCCGGCGTCTGCGGCTTCGGTCTTCTCTTACTCATTGCAGGAGGGGCATGATGCGTGGTCGGTATACTACTTCTTGACTGCAATTGCATTTCTCGCTATAGGTACTGCTTTATTGCTTCCCCGTGATCCTAGTATATGGGAAGATTTCCAATAGTGTTATCGCGAATGACCGTGTACATTATGATCTAGTGTAGGAGGCAGAACTAACAAAATTCTACTAACCAATACCCTTGCAAGTTCCTTGGGATGATCTTGCATCGCAGACGCAACACGGCTAATTTTCCAACATATGCGTTGCAACTGATGTCCAATCGTTTAACGTCGCTTTTTGTTATACAATGGCCCGCTGGACATCCCAGGATCCTCATTCGCCATTTTCCTTGTATGTAGCCATGACTTACTGCCAAATCCCCAGATTCTCGAAACCCAGAGATCATGGTCATTTTCATTGCTCACGTGAGATCTTCACCTTTACGCTGATACTAACATATAAGAGCAAGTGCATGATCCGTGGTTGATATACTACTTTTTCATTGCGATTGTACTTCTCGCTGTAGGTACTGCTTTATTGCATCCCCGTGGTCTTAGTGTATGGGAAGATTCCCAATAACATTATCGCGAATGACTTGTTTCTATTGACCTCCTTCGTATTTATCGATCGCTTGTGGCACTAGCGTTTGTGAACTCAAACCCTGCTCCTTCAATGGTGTTTACCAGCCATCACTAGCACTCCTGGACGCCTTTCCTAACGGAAAATTTTTTCTTCTCTCGTATTTCTACGATCGGGTCATCCCATTGCTTTTAGCAGATTCTTCAACAGATCATCCCCAGCCTCCCATGCCAATTTCGACATTCACCACGCTTGCTAAACGGGTCTGTGCAGGACCTACCAGCTGGTCACAGAACCGGGGTGCATATCCTGACATTATGTAGGAACTCGAAGGTCGACCGGGATGGTGCCTTGATCTTACTTTCCAGCACGCCTTGCTGGTCCTTGGCTACGAGTTTGGTGATGATCGGGAGGTGCAGCTTGGGAAGCGTATTGAAGGCACAGAGCTCGGTTGGTGTCTCGGTGCTACGATAGCAATGGTGGGCGGTTGTCGGGTGTAAAGAAGGACAGTCATCACGTAGACGTAACGCAGCGAGTACGTTTAGCTCTGCTACTGAAAGACATTTAATTTAGCTGATTCAGGTCTTACATTTTGTTATGTCTCTAGTCTCGCACGCGCAGACCATGCGCGTAAGGTTTAGCCCTTCCGGGTGAGTACTTGTGGAGTAGCTACCCATACAACGTAATGAAGTATATGGGGCAACGTGCGTAATAGGAGGTGCTTACTTTTACGTTTTCTGACCCCGGCTGCTAAGCCTCTAGGAACCCCTGGCCATGGCGGCTATACCTGGGTGCTGTGACATAATCATCCAAGTCAATTGATCTCGATCAGGTTCAGCCAGCCAACAAACCGGTCAGCAACCGCCTCATTGGAATGACTTCACGTAGTATAATGAGCTGCATTTCTCATTCGAGCTGTTCCCTCGTACCACCATGATTACCCAGCAGGATGACGAGGAGACACCTCTTCTGCAACGACTAGAGCAACCAAAGGCCAAGACACCTCTACCCTGGGATCAATCTTGGATTATACTGCTCGTAGAGATGCCAGATTTTCTTTCTTCTTAGACCCTTGCGCTGTTTATTCCTCAAGTGAGTATATTCCCTTCGCTGGACTTATATCTGATCACAGGGACTTTGTCAAGCTCATTAGAGACATCGGAGTCACTCATGGAGACGAATCCCAGGTTGGTCGCTATGTCGGTATCCTTGTAAGTCTTCATCATTTCTACCCCTTCATTCGTGGCTGATATTCTCTTGAGCAATCATCATACTATGCAGCTCATACCTTGACTATCTTTCATTGGAGTCAACTGTCCGACCACATCGGGCGGAAGCTGTAACACTGACAGCTTTATTAGCAATTATTATTTCGATGTTTTCATTTGGGCTGTCAAAGTCATTCCTTGGTCTGCTGGTAAGGTCAGTGTGTTCAGTTAAATAGTAGTTGTGATCGTCAATTACTTGACCATAGTCGTGTTGTCTGTGGAGCATTTGATCTGGGCGATGCTGTCATCAAGACCTTGGTGATGGACATTACTGACACAACCAATATGCCCAAGGCATACAGTTATATGCCAATTCCGTTGATGGTTGGAACCACAGTTGGGTAAGCATGCAGTACATTTTCTCTCGCGCTGAGATTCACAGAATCAATCAGACCACTCATTGGAGGATCGCTCTCCCGACCAGCAGACAGATTCCCTGGCATCTTCGGGCAATCAGAACTCCTGAAAACCTACCCATATCTCCTGCCATGCTCTATCTCGGCATCTTTCATATTCATAACTTGGCTAGTGGCGTATATCTGTCTTAAAGAGGTGAGCGCGATGCTGAAAATCCATCTCTGGATCAGACTAAGTGTGGTTACAAGGGCATTTCTATCAGGACAATGCTTTGGGAGCTCATTAAAGGAGGATTCTCATACTCGAAGCCTTGCCAGCCATCGAGTGGTGTTAGATTGATCCTGGGGAAGTGAATCCTGCAGAGGTTCAACCAAAGCCGCTTTCGCTGCGTGCTTTACTAACCTCGAAAATGTTGAGCGCAACAGCGAGTTATGCCACCATGGGCCTGTTTCAGATGGGGTTTAATTCGGTCTTACCTGTTTTCTATGCCACACCGATTGAACTCGGTGGTCTTTCCCTCGACCCTCCACGCATCGGTGCTTTACTTGCGGCATCAGGTGTCACACATGGCATGTTTCAGCTATTTTTCTACGCTCATTTACATGATCGCTTCAGTGCAAGAGCTATCCACATCACCGGCGTTAGCTCCGGCATACCCATGGTCATTTTATTTCCAGTGACCAAGGCTCTGGCTCGAGTCTATGGAATAGGCATGGCGGTGTGGTTGTGTGTTGCCATTCAGCTTATGCTGAAAATTAACTTGATCATGTGCTTCCGTATGTTAATCCAGCACTTCCTGTGTTCTGTTGAACTGAGAAGAACTCATAGCCTGCATGACATTATTCATCAGAGCAGCTGCTCCCAATCGCGCCTCGATCAGAGCAACCAATGGAATTGCCCAGGTGGCTGTTGCAGTAGCAAGGATCGTTGGTCCAGTGTCTGCAGCTTTGGTCTTCTCTTATTTATTGCAGCAAGGGCATGATCCGTGGTTGATATACTACTTTTTGATCGTGATTGCATTTCTCGCTGTAGGTACTGGTCTATTGCTTCCCCGTGATCCTAGTGTATGGGAAGATCCCCAATGATATTATTGCGAATGACCGTGTACGTTATGATCTAGTGTAGGAGGCAGAACTAATAAAACTCTACTAACCTATACCCTTGCAAGTTCCTAGAGAAGGCAAGTACACGGGGCAACGTACGTGCGTAATAGGAGGTGCTTACTTCTACGTTTCTGACCCCGGCAGTTACATAGCCTATAACTTTGAGCTCGTTCTGTACTCTTTATCGACGACCTAGCAGCGACCGCTGACTTCGTGGAATGACTTCTCATCTAATAAGCCCGAATCCCCGTTAACGTTGTGTTAGCTTGTGTTTCGCCGGACTAGGCAGACCACAAGTAAACGAATAAGTCATTGGACCTGTGGCGCCTCCATATTGGCATAAATAGTTACGCGCGCAATGGCATCATGATGGTTACTACTACACATACTTACGGTCGACGTATTTAGAGTCTGTTCGGCCACCATTATTTGCGCAAGTTAGAATTTGGTTCTGGCTTTGCTAATCGTCGGAGCTTGAACAAGATGTCACGCTCCGATAACGCTTACCGTATGCCTTATCCTACTATCAATACAATGCCTCTTGATCCTGATTACAACGAGGACGCTAATGAGGACGAATACGACCTTGTGGAGGCAGAGGATATGGACAACGATGCAGAGGAGAGTGATAAGAAGTATCTGGCATGCATCATGCAGATGGCCATGCATGCTATGCGCACGGTCATTACAGTCCTCAACGCAACAACTACCGCGCTTGAAGCTTACTCAAACACCTACTATGACAAAGAGCCGTATCATACCTCCACTTTGTCGGGGACTGCATGGGTCACCGAACTTCTCACTGGACACCCTGAACGCATCAGATGCGAGCTAGGGGTCCACAAGCACGTTTTCTATGTGCTCATCAATCTCCTTCGGCAAGCAGGATGCAGAGATTCCAGGCATGTACTGCTAGAAGAGCAGCTTGCTATATTTCTCTATGCATCTGTCACGGGTCTCTCGATTCGCCATCTTGGTGAACACTTTCAGCGGTCCAATGAAACAATATCAAAGTACGTATATTGTTGCTGTCCTGGTATCAAGCTTATGTTCTTTCAGGTATTTTAAACGGGTTCTTTTTACATTCTCCTCGCCACCGATATATACGACATACGTCCGCCTGCCCGACGTAGATAGCCCTCCTCCCCCCGAAATCACGAAAAACCCGAAGTTCTTCCCGTTCTTTGTTGACGCTATCGGAGCCATTGACGGTACACACATCGCATGCCATCCTTTTGGTGAAGATCGGCATGCCACTCGGGATCGCAAGGGGAACTTCTCTCAAAACTGCCTCGCGGCATGTTCATTCAACCTTTCGTTTACCTACATGTTGAGCGGTTGGGAGGGGTCAGCTGCAGATGCTCGTGTCTATCACGATGCTCGTACTACCGATTTCAATATCCCTGAGGGAAAGTATTATCTTGCGGACGCTGGATTTGGCTCGTGCGATGAGCTTCTGGTCCCGTTTCGGGGCGTGCGTTATCATCTTGCAGAGTGGGGTCGTGCTAATACTTTGTATGATGCATTCTGCTAGTACCATTCATACTTATGTTCACATCATTACATAGGCCTTGTAATCGCAAAGAACTTTTCAATTTGCGTCATGCAATGCTTCAAAATGCTGTTGAGCGCATTTTTGGTGTCATCAAGCGCCGATTTCGTATCCTTCTCCTCCCGCCAGAGTACAAAATGGACATTCAAGCGCGCATTCCTCCTGCCTTGTGTCTCGTGCACAACGTTATTCGAGTTCACGATCCAAACGACATGATGGACTATCGTAATGTGTTAGATGCGCACATTCTCACTGACACTGGAAACCTTGCTAACGGTCCTCCTACTGAGCACGCATGCACTCGTGCGAGCCTCCGTCGTGACCAGATTGCTAGTGAGATGTGGGAGGCCTACAACAGGGAAAGGATTCAGAGGGGGGAGCAGGCAATCATAGAACCACTAGTACTGTAGTCGCGTTAATACCATAGCCGTTCGGACCCTCATCGATGACTATGATCCAAAGTATCTCCGTCAAATGATGACATTGTTGTCAGATTAAGACCGGACCCTCATCGATGACTATGATCCAAAGTATCTCCGTCAAATGATGACATTGTTGTCAGATCAAGACCGGACCCTTATCAATGACTATGATCCATAGAAATAGTGATATTGCTTTGCTACTACAAGTACAATACAAGAGAACACGACACGACAAGAATACATGTAACACTACTTTGAATGCTGCTCTAAAAACAACCGCCGAAGACTATCTACCTCAATAGTGAGATAAATATCAATGATAGCGATGTCGGCCTGAAATTTATTCAAGATATTGAGTAGTTGTACGTCCTCTAGACCCTCACTCTGCAACTTTTCACCGCCTTCTGCCTGCGCAAAGGGATGGGATCTACTGATCGCGCCAAGGTGTTGGAGGTGTTGGCCTCAAGAGCATTGGCCGCGCGCTCTAACGTTGTGTTAAGACCGCCAATATTAGTCCCCATATGCTGGATGGCCACAGGCATCGTCAGGCGTGCAGACTTTGCCGAGTCTCCCGATTTTGTTGAATGTGGGGGGCGGGTAACGATATCAAGCGTACTTTCATCATCATCAATCAGCTTCCGTTTACCAGAAGCTGTTGATGATGGCGCACTAACACGGACCGACTCAAGGGAGGGTTGCTGTGCAGCGTCGAATGGAGGGAGGCTCTCTGGGGTGAGGGGGGTTGCGCGCTGGCCGCCTGAAATAGAGCCGGGGAACTCGATCCCATCGAGCGCATCTCCAAGGTCCATCATATGGACCTCATCAAAGGAAAGGGGGGTGACTGCGCTGCTAGAAGAAGGCAAAGGAATGATGGGAGGTGGTGTCGCGATGGTGGCAAAGAACGAGTTGTTGTTACCTGGCTTGACAGGTATGAGACCTTTCAGCGCCTCATAGTGCTTCCAACCCTTGTCCCGGAGGCCTTTGGCCTTTGGATTTTTCTATTGATTCATAGTAATTAGCATTGTCGTAGTAGTTTGATGTGAATTAAAATCACTTTACCTTCACAAAGTCGGTCCACATGTTTTTGGACTCTGGAGTGATCGAAGCTCCATGTTCCATGCTGTAAGATAGTCTGGAAGCGTTGGCCACTTTGTCGACGACGTTGAATGTACCACGGAGCTGAAACTCGATCATTAGTGAGGGTACCAAGGCTGATATAGTAGTAGTACATACCTGCCCCCATTTTGATTGACATGCTACCGCTGTTTTGCTTGCACCCGAGCAGGGGTGTTTTTCCATTTCAGCGGCAGCAGCAACCCAAAACGTGTGATCAAAGTTCATACCATCACCACCTTGTGAGCGGTTGGTGGTGACATACTGGATGAGGATGGTTTCGTCTGCTTCCGTCCACACACACCAATCTCTCGCTTCCGTTAGCTCTGCACCACCACGGGCACTTTTTCTGCCCCGAGACATCCTGTAAGAGTTGCGATGATGGATAGATTGTAGACGGGTAACGGGCATGCCTACTACTTAGTATTGATTGATTAATAAGGTTGGTCACACTGTGACCAGCACGGTCCTATGATTATGAAAGCAAAATATAGATTCTAAACCTGCGTAAACTGGCGCAAATATTGGTGGCCGAACAGACTCTTATGTAATGCAATCATTGCAATGTGCCTCATGTTGTATTTATGTCCGTAGCGTGTCCTTACTTGAAATCGTTCAATGTCGTCAATTTGGGCATTTTGTTGTTATGTCTCCTCTACTTCGCATGGGTGCTGGCGCTGACCTTCTAGCCTAAGGTCAGTTAACCAATGGGTTCCTGTGGACTGCCATCAGGCCTTATCGATTAGCCAGCCAACAAGCCGGTCAGCAACCGCCTCATTGGAATGACTTCACGCGGTATAATGAGCTGCATTTCTCATTCGAGTCATTCTCTCGCACCGCCATGATTGCCCAGCAGGATGACGAGGAGACACATCTTCTGCAACGACCAGAGCAACCAACGGCCAAGACACCTCTTCCATGGGATCAATTTTGGATTCTACTGCTCTTGGAGATGCCAGATTTTATTTCTTCTGGGACCCTTGCGCCGTTTATTCCTCAAGTGAGTATATTCCCTTCGCTGGACTTATATCTTATCACAACTGGAACTTTGTCAACCTCATCAGAGACATCGGAGTCACTCACGGGGACGAAACTCAGGTTGGACACTACGCAGGCATCCTTGTAAGCATGTCTCCATCGTTTTTACCCTTTCGTTCGTTCATGATACTACTCTCTCCAGCAATCATCATACTACGCAGCTCATACCCTCACCATCTTTCATTGGAGTCAACTATCCGACCACATCGGGCGGAAGCCTGTAATACTGACAGCTCTGTCAGCAGTTATTATTTCGATGTTTTCGTTTGGGCTGTCGAAGGCCTTCCTTGGTCTGGTGGTCAGGTCAGCATGTCCAGTTAAATGTCGAATAGTATCTGTGACCATCAATTCCTATCTTGTTCTGCAGATCTGCGTCGGCAGTACGTCTCTCCATTGGGAGCAGAAGATGCTATTCGAAGAGTAGTTCGGATTGAACTCAGCAACGCCCCCCTTCGTCTGCTCAACACCTCTACGGGGATTCTGTGCGACCGAGTAGCGCAGCTAAACTCCTTCAAAACAAGTCCAGAGTATAAAGAGCTTTTGTCATCCATAACGGAGCGTTTGGATCTCCAGATGCAACGCATCAAGGAGGTGGTGGCGATGCACTTCCGTTGCGTTTTGCTATCACACAGGTGGGAAGAGACGGAGGTGCTGCTGCACCACATCCAAAATAAAGATGTGCGTGAGTTGAAGAGACTTGGTGGCATCATGAAACTGCGGTCGTTCTGCAAAACCGCTCGTGATGCGGGGTATTTCTGGGCGTGGATGGATACATGCTGCATCAATAAGAGCAACAATGTCGAGCTTGGAGAATCGGTCCAATCCATGTTCGTCTGGTACCGTCACTCGGCGCTCACTATCTATGGGCCTTTCCTCTTCGGGCGTATCTACTGGACCTTCACGCGGAAGTCACATCCGCACACCTAACGGTTAAGCCCGTACGCCATCATTTTGAGTGGCGCGCCATCGGAAGATGACCTACACTCCCTGCCTTAGAATATTAGACCACTCCTTACATCTCAAATTCTACCTCTGCTACTGAAGCGACATCCAATTCTCCAGCACGTTCTCCTGAGGCAGCCGCTGAAGAGCCCACGCCTCCTCTTCTACCATCTGCCACCAAGACAGAAAAGTTTTTGTTGACTGCTGCAGATCAGGGGTCAGGCACTCGTGACGAACGACTGAACCGTGTTATTCGGAGCAAATACGAGGCAGGTCCACTCAAACCGTATGATTATGTCAAGGTGGATGGATCGCAAGTGAGTCAACGTCTTCGTGTTGAGACAATGATTTGACACCTGTTCATCTTTCTTGACAATCGAAGCAGCAAATTTTGCAACCGTTGTCCGTGCTACGGCCCAAGTTCCGAGTGAGCGAGGAGGCTTTATGATACTTGTGAAAGTTGCTAATCATACTTAAGCTGTTGCGCAATCCCTACGTGATATTGTAAGTTTGAGGTCCCTGTTGATGTATTTTGCAATTGACCATGTTACAAGGACCTCATATTCATAGAAGATTCCTTCGAGCGATTACTTCTTGATTACGACCGTGTCTTCTCAGCTATGGGTATCCCAGCGTCATGTCTCTGGCGCCGAACGGGTGAGATCTATAAAGGAAACCGTGAGTTTTCAGAACTCAGGCGTCGATGGATACATGATGCGAGACGTAAGCTGCCTCAATGTGACTATCAATGCCTGCAGGAGCTAATTCTTTCTGTTGTAGGGTCTCCTTTGTATCTACGAGCTTATGGCAGAAGAGTCGGCAGTCAATTACTGGGAGGTGAGCCTAGTCCGTCGTAACTCGCTTCTTGATCACATATGTTAGAAACACGACCATGTTGCTTTTGACTCTTCTCAAAAGGCCGTGCTCACTTCTTGCGTGCTACGTTATAAACTCCTCATCAATACGCAGTCGCAATCGCAATCGCCGAAAAAGGAGGATGTTCCCAATGAGGAAGGTTTCATAAACTGTTGCTTCTCATTCACAATCAGGCGGGATAAGTGGGGCATACCGAGTATGATCGTTGGAAATTTCATCAAGTGCTGACAAGAATACTGGAGGTTGGAGGTTGTTGTGTAGAGAAGTAACGAGTTTATCTTGTAAGTTATGATGAATCACGAGTTTCAGTTAGAAAGGATTCCTGGCGCGCTGATCAAAAGTCATAAGTTTCTTCCGCTCTCCAAGCTTCAGAACTTGTCTCCTGCAGATGTGCTTTCAAATGCGCAGCAGGAAATAAGAAGAGGGAGTTCGGAGGGGAAATGAATTGTCGTAGACGATGCTACATGTAAGCAACGTACGTGCAAGTTAATGATGCTTATTATAAATTTTGTCCGCCCGTCTTGCTCTTTGGTTCCTCGTCAGTGTCTGTTGCTCGTCTCTTCGTCCAGGTTCTGACGAAGATGAACGCCCGCATCAAGGGCTTTGACTGGTAAAACAATAATGCGCAACACCAAGTATGAGATTGATCAGGCATAAGGCTCTGGGTCTAGTGATGAGGCTCGGGATGACTCCGTGACCCAGCGCCGGACTCGTGTGCGCAAGTCGACCCTCTTCTGTCGTTTTTCAAGGTGAAAGACTGCGTCATCGGTAAGAGCAGCTCCGCGTAAACTGGAAGACAATTTGCGTTTGCGAGCGCCCGGTGGTGAAGGCTTATCTCTTGCTTGATTACTGGGTAGATCAGACTTCGGCGTACCATCGTGCGCAGAGCGTGCTTGCGACCGTGTGGTACGTTTGCTCCCTCGAGAAAGATTCTCTATGTCCTCGTCATCGCGGTCCCTCTTCCTCTTACCCCTCTTTTCTACCTCCCAAACCTTCGCATCTTTCTTCGCATCCTCGAAAAGGGCCCATGTATTACACAAAAGTGTAAGCCGTTCTTCAAGTTCCTTCCGAAACTCACTCGTCTGTTGCGAACAATACTCGCAGACGATCTGATTGATGTGATCCCTTGTGCACTTGGGGCCTGCGTTTATGATGGCAAAGGGAGGTGCAATATGACACTCAAGCAATGGGAGGCCTTGGTAAGGATAAGAGTGATCTTCCCAAACTCCACCACCAATTTCGCATGAGATGCGTGGGCATCCTGTGCCAGGCAATGGTATGAACGTGTACGGTGTTTTATTGTTGAGATTCCACTGTGGAAAAGTAAATATTGTTGCAGGCATGCGATACCACAGAACAAGCGCCTACCTCTAACCAGAAATGTTTCGTGCCTTTACTAGACTGGGAGTTTGCCCTTGATGCAACAGCGTCTTTCACGTAGTCATGGACTTTCCTTAGTGTGCCTGTATCCGGCAGGAGAAACCAGTGACCAGCATCAAATATACTATGCAAGTGGGGTGACACTGCAGATTAATGTCAGCGTCAAGTGACAGCGCACGCAAGAAATGTGTCATACGATAGAACATATTTCGTCTGCTGTCAACATGGAATGATCTCGAATCTAAGCCAAGACAATATTCATAGAGTGTCAACTGAAGAAATTATTAACATTGAACATTTCATAGGTAATGAAATTACCCACAAGATCAGACTTGCTCGCACGTTGAACGGCATGGGCTACAGTCACCAGGTAGGCCGCTGACGATGTTACGAGACAGTGACGGGCGCCATAGTTGTGGTCATATAACTTCTCGAGTGCCTTACGAGTTTTTGAAGAGAGGCCTGCAGAAGCTGAGCGATGTGTAGGGGTGGTGAAGATGATAGACGCGGATTCCCGGGTAGACACACGAGTGGGGGTATATTCGTCGTGGCTACTTTCTTGGAGACCTGGGCTTGGAGTTGAGCGATCATTAATCTCATATGTAGAGGAATTGGCATAGGATGATTCTGGGTCCCGACCACTGGCTAAAGAGTATGTGCCGATAGACATCTTTAGTTTGATTGAGCATGTATGCGCGTGGGAACTTTTACTTTGGTGACTTATGCTCGTAATGCAAGACTCTATATCAGTTACTGTTAACCGTATTAGCATTACAGGAATGAACCTCTAAGCACCTGTCGACACCTAAAACCATCCCTAACCCATACCAACTTGCACATGCAGCCTTTTCTCTGCCTCAGCTCCTCCGATCACCATCGTTTATCTATCCTTGCGCCATTCCTCCTGGCGAATGCGCATCTAAGTCTCCAATGAACTGCCATTATCTACCGAGATTCTTTCAAAGCAAAGTCAAAAACGGAAGTCAGCCCTCTATCAACCCTTTGGATCTATGGTTCCAACACTATCAACCGACATCAGCGACACGAGAGTATAATATTAATAGTACCGAGAACTGCTGCCTGAGGTGGGAGCAGCTTCGTGTCCGTTACCAAAAAACCGTCATCCGTGTTGCAGAACACGTTCCGGAAGTGGTTGAATTCGTTCGGGGTATCATCAAGAATGGCTCAACTGGCTACGAATTCGAAGGCAGTGTCTACTTTGATGCAGGCGCATATCCTTCATCTCAACGACGAGGTTACGCTCAGTTGGAGCCCTGGAATAAAGGAAACAGAGAATTGACTAAAGGCGGAGGTATGTTGACACAATCGCAAGAGGAGATTTTATTGATACAACCGTGAAGACTGCAGAGACCCGAGTCACATCTTTGGTCATCTTGTTAATGCGGCATTGGAGGACATCACAGTTTGCTATAACGGCACGGCACGCGCGCAACTCGCTCGGATATTTCATTCAGTTCATGCATTTACCTGCAGATCCCACCACCTCGCAGTGCCAGCTATGAGAGCTCGCCTCCACCGCTTGGGACACAGATGCCAGCCCCGCCTGCAGAAGTCGCATATGAGACCCCTCCCGTCTACGTCCTCTACGTTGCTCAGGCGTCGACTCGAGTGCATTGCCCTCTCCGAGTCACGCCACATCTCCGCAGACTATGCTCGACATGAACTCCCTTCATGTTCAGCACCAGAGTTTACTTTTCTCTTTTCCGTTCACCTTCTCATTACCCACTCTTAGCTCTGCCTCAGTTTCTTCCAGTTCTGCAGATGAGAAATCACCCAGGATGAGCATCTCATCCGTTGAGTCCGTTTCTTCGGTCATGATGCTGATTAGCTCCGCCTCAGGTATGCGTAGTCTATATTTGTATCGCTAGCTGTTTATTCACGGAATATCACAGACCCATTCTCTGGAGCTATTATGCAGGCAAGGTAAAGCACCAAAAAAACGCGGGGCTGCCAGGCTTACTTCTGGTCTTCGACGCCTTCCTCTCCTTTCCCTAGTCCAACTACTCTTACGTTCGGCTCTGCATCATTCGCACATAGCACTCAGATTGCAAGCGCCGTTGTCATTAGTCACTTAAAGACTAGTTACACCACCATCGAGTACCGTTACCGCACAAATCTGAATGCACGCGTCCAGAGCCTCAATGCACCTACAAAGCATTCCTCAAGAGCAAGGTCCATTGTCAGATGCGCATCCTCAAAGCGGCTCCCATGATGAACGTGAAGCTCTCATTGATGTACTCGAATTGAGCGCCAATGCACCTTTCAGGTGCGCATATATCCACAGTCCAAGCTATGTTCGTGCCACTTATGGTGTGTTTTGTTGCGACCAGATCATCACGTCGGCTCAAGAGTGGCTGGCTGATCATGTCCATCCCGCCATTGAATCCTCCGGCTCTCTTTCCACTGAGATGACGAAGCGTGCCTTGGACGAGGAAAAGGTACTATCCCCATTATTGTCTTACTGAAATGTATTGAGATCTGAATCAGGAACGAAAGCGACAAGAGGAGGAAGAGGCCGAAAGGGAGTTCGAGTTAGCAGCTCAACGCGCTGAAGAACTTCAAGAACAGATTCAGGCTGATGCGCAGAGACATATGCTTGCCAAGGAGATGCAGTATAAGCCAGCTTGGCGAAGGGCGCAGTCTGATGCTACTGAAATTCCCTCTTCAGGAGACACCCTCACAGAGTCCTTTCCAAACGAAATCGGTTTCAGAGGAGTACATTTTAATGCGGTCAAGATGTTTCATCCGCGAAAAGGTCAGCTTAATTTTACATTTGTATTGTCTAGAATATTTACCTCGTCAAGGAAGAGTGTCTTGGTATCACATACATTGCAGATCCGTTGTGTGACGACGTGAACGCAACGCTGCTACTCGAGGTTCATACTATTGGCTTTAACTCGGACTACTACACAACTACCCAAGGTCAGATAGACGCGCCTCATTCTAAGGCAGCTGACTTATTTTCTCCAGGGAAGAAAAAGTTACTCGCAGCAGAAGCTGAGATCCAGAAGCCGATCAATATTCAGCACCCAGACCTTCTAATGACTCTTGCTGTCAAAATAAACTTTTCTTACTCTGGCGCTCCACCGCGCTTGACTATTCTCTCCCAACAAAGCCCTGTGTTAACATTGCAAGACGTTCTTGAGGATTGTGAACGTCTTCGAGAAGATCGACATCAGTTTGTCATGGAGTCTCTTAAACATTATCGCAGCATTGAAATGCTTTGACTCTTCTAGGAATATCTTGGTCAGACTCTGTCTGCCATGAACGCGGTCCATCCAGCAGATATAATTCACAGAGGTACGACCCGTGTCTTGACCCACACAGCAATTCATATCATTCTAGGTCTTGACATTTCTTGCATTTATCTTGCTACGAGAGAGAATAGAACCCACCCCAAGATGGTCAGGATAGGAAAAGTTGGTTATCATGCATGCTTGAAGGACTACCATAAGTCTAATCCGTTTGGTAACGACATATCAAACGTGAACGAGGAAGAGTATATATCCATCCTACACCTTGGTAAGTGATGTGGGGATGGTACATTAGTTCATCATCTGAACGACCATTGCAGGTTATCTAAAGATGTCCTTGATTCTATTCTATCATACATTCGGGGACGCGATATACACAGTGTTGGAGTAATCTTCATGTAAATGGTCAATGGAAGAGACGTCATGAGGCATAGTGATCCTAATGAAGCTGTGCAAGCTGGTAACCCATGTTCTGTCACGCTTTGTTGTGCTAGAGCTTATTTCGCTTTTCTGCGGCTCTTTCTCCTACTCTCCAAACCTCCTACTCTCCAAACATGGGTAGCATGGGTATTGTATGTGGAGTTTCACTCGATTTTCTGTCTGTTCTCACGTCGTGCCAGCTTCACCGTATCAAACTCACGAATATCTTCATTGGTATGTACTACTCTTAGTTCTGATACGCTCACTCTTCATTCAGATGGGAAAGGGGACTGCAAAAGGCACGTACTTTATTTGTGGTCTTGAGTGCTGTATTTGACGTCGGGACCGGTCGGAGACTTTGGCTTGGCCACGTCAAGCTTAGCTGCTGTTGACCCCTCAGATCTATCACCATCTGTCGTCCATTCAGACCCTGAACTAACACTGGGTTTGTCTCACATTGTTCAACAATGGCTATCGCTGACGCTGAACAGAGGTTGGAACTAAGTTGTACATCGCTCCCGAAGTCCAGTCTAGGAAACGAGGACCTCGCAATCACAACAAAGCCGACATGTACCGTTTGGGGGTGAGCTAGCTTTGAGAACCCATCGAACATAGCCTGATTCTTCTTAGATTGCTTTCTTCAAGATGAACTTTCCTTTCTCCACAGGAGTGGAGCGTATGACTGTGCTCGAAGATCTAAGGAAGCCGGAGGTATACTTCCCTCGAGGTTGGGACCCTCACTGTTCAACAAAGTTGGTTCAAATTGATTGACAGTAGTCTAATGCACTGAATCATTGTAGTTATTTCTGCGCTCCTTCACCATGACCCTGCCGAGCGCCCAACTGCACTGGAACTCTCACAGAGCTCTCCTCTCCCTCCCAGAGTAGAGGATGAATATTTCAAGGGAGCTTTGCGGATGATGAGTATGTAAATATCCATACGAAGATCAATGACGCTTATGAGCAAGCGGCAGCTAAACCGGACTCTCCGTACCACTAGGGCGCGTTGTCTGCCTTGTTTAACCAGCCTGTAAATCAGGCTCGAAGCTATTTGTACGACATCGAAGCTGAAATTCCCGAGCACGCTTACCAGAACGACATCGTTGAGGACCGAATCGCAGCCGCATCTTCCAACTTCATGGCGCAGTTGACATGGAACCTCCGCTTTTGCCACCATTATCCAATCCTGAAGAGAGCCAGAATCATGCTACCCTCATTGATCGTCACGAAGAAATGGTTTGCAAGTTGCCAAATAATGCGCTAGTACTTCTCGCTCAGTTGGCTCCACGAGCCGGCCTGCGAAGATTCAAGCGATTCCACATCACGAATATCTATCGGCCAAAGTGAGTCTTTCCAAGCTTCTTCAAAACGTGTTTTTAACGAGGATTCTATCCACAGCTCCGTTCCAGGACATCCAAAGGCTACAAAAGCAGCGGTTCTTGACATCATCACTCCCGATACCAAGCATTGGCTGATGGCGGCTGGAGCTGAGTTCCTCATTCTTCTCAGCAATTGCTTGAACAGTTTCCCAAACCTTGCTTAGAACTACGAGATCCATATCTCACATTCTAAGAGTATGAAGCTTTTTGTGTTTTCCCGACTTTCACTGACATAGAACTAGTCGCCGATCTTGCTTTGAATCATATTCCAGAGGAGCTCCGTTCTTCGGTGATAGAAATCATCAATCAGTCGAAGTCTACTACTCTACAAAAGCGGGACTACATATTTGGTGCGTCGGGCCCACCCCTGCAAGCGTCACCATATCACCCCTAACTAAAGTACTTTGTGTTCATGTTCTATTTGATAACAGTACTTCGACTTCGACCCTCTCCACGCACTCCTCAAAATCCTCTCCCCCTCGTCCAACTCCGCTGAGACCTGCTCACGAGTACTATACGCGCTTTCTGGGCTACTGAAACCGAATGCTGCTGCTGTCAAAAAGATGAGTGTGGTAGATGGATGGAGCGCATTGAGGATGTGCTTGGAAGGTGTGTATCGTCCTACAACCTCTGCTTTCTTTTCATGATGATTGACACTCACACCTGACGAACACTAAGACTCAGAGATCCGTGTTCGCAGAAAAACAACATTCCTGCTAAACACACTCCTCCTCCCAAGTCAACCTCCAATCAAACATCGGCCTTCCCACATCAGAAAATGTGCCACCCCCAATCCACGCAAATTCGCATGCTTCGATGCTCTCTGATCCATCGTCCATCTCTACGTCTGCTCTGATGCTCGCTGTGATTCAGGAGGAGGGAGAGCAAGGGGGTCTTTGCTCGATGCTTTGATATCAGCCTTGATCGAACCTGTCCAGTTCGGCGTTGATGGCGAGACAGATAAAGATCATGAATTCTAGGAGAACATTGTTAGGTGAGTCCGATCTTAATCGCACCTTTCCTTCTTCTTTCCACTCCCGTATTAGGTTGTTGATCTTGGGACGGAACTAGGATTTTGTATACATTCGTGACGAGCTGCAACGGCACTTTGTCAGCTGTACAGAAACACGGTCTCTGGGGGTTCTTGGGAATGATTACTACGACGCAAGGAGAGGAGAACTTGAATTTTGGATTGATGAGTGGGGAGTGGAGGAGTTGAGGGGGGCTGTGAGCTCATGATGCGATGCGTTTGGCAGGGACGATGTAGCTTGGGGTTGTACTTGAGGTGGAACGAAATGGCATTTTGTTTCAACACCATTGTACTGCTGATGTTAATGAATTCTGATATCAGATGATCGTTCATCAGTACTTCAGTGATAACGCCACTGTAGTGTTTTATCTAGCTCAACGGGTCACGAAGTAAGTGCTCTGATCTGCATCGACACCTATATAGTATTCTCAATTCCTGAATCCATCTTCATCTTCGGTATTACTCGAACGATTGAGTCGGCGGATGAAGCTTAAGGTCTGACAGTGGGCCATGCTGCTGCTGGATTACTCTCAGGTACGTCGTCTCATCAGACTACAAGTGCAAATTTAACCTAACCTTTGGCCTGGTTACTAGTGTCGAGAAAGGTCACACACATCACCGCTGATTTCATTACCAGCTTGTTCCGAGCTTCAACGTGCGGTTGTGCACCTAGAAGCAACACTGCTCTCGATTTCGTGTTGGATTTGGTTGCTCTTGTACGTCCTCCTCTTATCACGATAAATAGTGAAGTTCGAACTCATGATTAACGCTGGACTGTAGGTTGGCATACCAATTTGGAGACACTCAGTTGACTATTTACCGGACTTTTGCACGCATGGTGCATCCACAAGACTGACTTAGTACTAGGTGCGCACCTTATAGTACGCCGCCCTCCCTGACTCAGAATATTAGGAAGTTGTACTTCTTTGTGGCACCCCCCATCTATCGAATCACCCAGATCAATTTCAAGCTCGAGCTTAAGCTGCAGACTGCAGTCCCAGTTCATTTATATCAATGCCCATGTCTGCAAAGTCACCTTGCTTCGTGCATTCACACCTAGATAAAGGAGCGTCGCTATAGGACTGGCTTGAAATCCATTCAAAGGATAACGAGGTACTTGGTTCAGACGTCAGAGTCGCTAAGGCTCTTCAGCAACATCATCGGCCTCAAGTTTCAACACCAGGTTAAGTTGCCTTGCCCTGACGGAGGCAGCCATGCGTTCTCAGAAAATGACGACAGCGATACGTATGGCGGCAATCTGATGAGACAGTTGGCTGAGACAGCAGTCGGGGTTCGTGAAATGAGTAAGCAACTCGGTGAGTGCTGTTCTTATTCTCAGACTTTCCATCTACTCAACAATCATGCTCCTTCAGGACATGATCCAATATCCAGAGCGTTCTTATCGTAACCAAGGCCAGGGATAACCGCCTTATCAAACTGACGCGCGAGCTTGCGTTGTATCTGATGCTCAAACATCGTCAAGGGGATCGAGGCCTTATTGTGTGAGTCTTGAACCTTATATTATTCAGGGTGTTTTACGAGGACTTCACCAGCTATGTAGACCATCAACTGCGCAACGAGATTCGATGCCGAAGGCATACAGAGAGATCATCCAGAATTGTTTGAGCCTCTCCCCCGAAGACGGTCATCCAGCAGCAATTCTCTTTCTTCCTTATCATCATCATCCACTCATCAAGATGATTTCAATACGCACCAAGAGGGTCAGCTACAATGCTGGACTAGTGGTATGTGCAGCAATAATCCTCATCTATTCGATTTTGTCATTATGGTAAGCAACCTAACTCACGCGTCTCGTTGACTCCACTCATTTTGATGCTTAGCTTGGAGGAGATGGCGATGTTCTTTTCACCTCGTGGCTCTTCCAGCGAATTGTTCCTCCCGTCCTCCCTTTCGCACTCGTTTCCCTTGGCTTTCTCACTAATTTCGACTTCTCTGACTATCAAGCGGTTGTAGACTCAGCCATCAACTCAGGTATTCGTGTCAACCTATGCATGCGATTTATATGTACGGTCTACCGTGCCGTGTTTGACAAGTAAAAGGGCCGTAAGGCCGTGAAAAGGGGTGAAACAGGCGAAATCATGATGAAGGACGTAAATAAAGGAGGATGGGAGGCGCTCGAAGGGGGCTGGTCTGGCAGGTTTGCTGCCTCGGAGGGTGGCAAGTGTTCGAGAGATAAGGAGATCATGTGCTTTACAACAAGACCGGTTGAGACGTTTGAGGTTCTCAATGATCTTGTGATGGACCGGGGACCCAGTCCCTATGTTATGAATTATTCGGTATGTTACCTCTTCCGATATTTGGGTACGTGTATTTATTATTTTGAAGGCGACGAACACCATATGACAACTGTGCAAGCTGATGGGCTTTTTGTAGCTACGCCCACCGGTTCCACTGCTTATTCAGTAGGTTTCTCACCATCCCTTGTCGGTCACCAATATTAATTATTTTCTCGGTGTAGTTATCTGCCGGAGGGTCCTTGGTTCACTCCGAGATACCTGCAATCCTCATCAATCCCATTTACCCTCACACGCTATCCTTCCGCCCCATGCTTCTTCCCGATAGTATGGAACTCCGCATATGTGACCCATGTAATTCTCGCAGAACAGCTTGGGTGTCTTTCGACGGCCGAGGCCGTGTGGAACTGCAACGTTCGTCATGAGATGCCACTTTTCATGCAGTCGCTTAGTTCTTTTTCAGAGGGTGATCATATCAAAATAACTGCTTCCAAATACCCTTTCCCGACTGTTTGCGTGGACAAACAGTTAACTGACTGGTTCCATGCCATCTCACGAACCTTGAAATGGAATGGGCGCGAGCGTCAAAAATCGTTTGTCGTAGTCGAAGAGGGCCCATCACGGAAATCCAGCACGAGCAAAACGAGGAGTCCTATATTATACTAGGACGACTGTGGGGGTGCGGACGAAAGACCATACCCCTTAGTCACGATTCGAACATGTTGATGCTGATGGTCTCATGCTATGTAAGGTGAGTGATCTGATGCCTATGATTGGATGTTGATAGTTTGATATTTTGGAAGGTCAAGATCAATTTGAACGACCCACACTTACTCAACGCGATCGGAGACGAAGGCGTGGAGTTGAAGCCGTTAACCGAACTGTCCGAAGTGTTCACGGATGGAGTAGAGCGTGGATGTATTCATGTCGTCGTACGACATCCTGCCGTTGCACGAGGCAGAAGTATGGAAGACCCAACCGATCACATGGCGGAGCTCAACAAAGGTGAGGCTACACCACCTGATACTTGACTCGCCGCTCAAAGTGTATTCCACACGAAGAGTTCAAGAACGCTCTTCACTTAAGCTATCCCCCCGCGTCAGTAGCTGCTAAATTCAAAGAATATTGCAGGATACAGGGCGGGCCTACCAAAATATACGACGGTCGTTATGCTCACGAAAAACCAGCCGATACGACTGCACCACCAATACATTTGTTCAACCCAGCATTCGCTTACTTCTCAAGCAAAGTGTTCGATCCTGAATACGTTGTACCCGATGAGACACTGCGTGACGTTCAGGAGCTCATGACTAAATTTGCGGCTATCCATGCCAACGAGAATGACCGCCAACAAAATGTTACTTCTCTGCTGGAGAAGGCGATCCAACATCCTTTGCTTCACACGAAAAGTCGTCGTGGAAAATGTATTCCCGATGCTGTAGCCGTCTATTCTCATAACCATAATCAGATACACCTCATGGTAGTTGAGGAGAAGAACGAGTTTGGAGATGGAGGTTCAGACCCTTCGGTCCAGGCGTCATTCTCTTTTGTATATGTAACTCGCGAGGTGCAATGCCATTCAGCACTTTAATGCGCGTTACTTCCTCACTGATGCTCGTCACATAGCGCGCGGAACTTCGCTTAAAGTGCAATGGTCCTACCTTCTTGGTTGCTCACGCTGGACCTTGGCTAGCAGTCCTGGGCGCCGTCTTCACGGAGAAATATATAGTCTAGCGGCTTACGGACTTCATCTGGATCCCAGCCCGCTCTGCACTCGATGATGACCAGTTTCTTCGAATCGGGCGCGTCCTGTATGCACTTAGGGAATCAGTCGCGCGGCTCACAGACTGGTATAAACATGTCTTGGAATGCAACGAGCCGCCGTACGATGCATCAAATCCTACTGTACATCATCGCTTTTACCCAACCCCAGACGCCTATCTACGTGACAAGATTCCCGTGCGATTCAAATATGAGAGGTCCCTGGAACGCGATGCTTCCTGTGTGACTTACCTGGCGAAGACGATGGAGGACAACCCGATCAATGTCGTCGTAAAGTTCGTCACCAGGTACGGCGAGGACGTCCACAAGGCGATGGCAGAAGCTGGGTTCGCGCCGAAGCTTTTGTATCACGGAAAAATTGATGTCGTGGAGGGGATGCCATCGTATGGCGGGTCGCGGATGGTAGTGATGGAATATGTGGACGGAATGACGGCCTATAGTTCACCGCAACTGCCTCCCAGCTTTCACCAAGAGCTCACAAGGGCGATCGAGTACTGTCACGAGAAGGGTTTTGTGTTTTGTGATCTTCGGAAGCCGAATGTCATGATCACGAAGGACGGCAAAGTGCAACTGATCGATTTCGACTGGGCTGGACGCGAAGGCGAGGTCACATACCCTGTATCCATTTGTCTTGCTATTGACTGGCCGAAGGGGGTACAAGGATTAGGGCCTATACTGAAACAACACGATCATGATATGCTAGTGCGCTACCGTAATTAGACTCTCAATTCTTCTGCTCTACGATGCGTTGCCACCAACTTCAAGTTGTGCATGGTAGACAAGCCAGGATGATACTGACGGAGTCTAAAGAGCCGGACGTATCCGGGCCGGTTTGAATGAACTTAAGGAAGTTGCCGCGGAGCCCAGTCAGTTTTGACATTTCGAACCTGCACAAAATTCGGAAGTTGTTGAAAGACAGCTCTCGTTCCATGGCCTTAACACTCCAGTTTTGATGCTTGTAGCGTCGTTTAGATCTGAGCTAGATCCCGGCGCGTGGCGTACCTTTAAGATCTGAGCTAGATCTGGTGCGCCCTACAGCTCATTCTGGCTTGATGCGCGTGGGGTGCCGTTTAGATCTGAGCTAGATCCCCGGTGCACCATACCTTCAATATTGAGCCTGGCAGAGCATCTTGAGCATCCTGCCTCATGTTTCAGTCAGTTCTTACAGCACACTGCCAGACAGAAAGAAAGCACAGGGCACGATACAAAGCATCATACGGAAGACTTGTCAACGTCATAGTCGGCGCTCAAAGGTATGTTGCAAGGGTCACAGTCACAGTACATTGTCACTCGCCTGGTCTCCTGACAGAACATGCATTCTTTCAGGTGGAGATGACCGTAATCCCAGCATAAGGGAGTGGGAAACATCGAGCTGGACGCAGGTCGGTCTTCCCTGGATGGGCCACACATACAAAGTCAATTCCATCGCCTTCAATCCTTCTGGCACGCATGCAGTTTCCGCCTCTAGCGACAACTCCGTTCGTCCCTGGCAGCTCGCTGATAAACAAACCATCGCTATCTTCCAGCACACTTCTTCTGTCATTTGCACAGCCTTCTCCGTGGATGGCACGCGCATTCTTAGTGGAGGTTATGATAAGACAGTCACAGAGTGGACGGTACCCATGGGTACTTTGCTTGCGGATGCTTCAAAGGAAAAGGTAATTTCCAGTCGGTTCACCTTCCTCTCGTTATCTTATTTTGCGTCTAGATTTTTTATTCAAATGATGTAGAATCTGCCTCCAAGCGGCAGATAATGTCAACGGTAATTTCTTGTTGATATAAACCTTCGCCATCTCACCTTGTGTCCTTTCATCACAAGGTTTCAGGCTTTGATTGCGAGTTTCAAGAAACTGCTCCGACGAAACTAGTAGTGAAGGTAATTTCCAATTAATTACACGTTCGCCGTCTCATCTAATATCCTCATTTCTATTCAAAGACCATGGAATATAATCCAGGGATTGTAGGTTCCCGAGTCTCCCCAGGCAGTTTCGATGACTGGAAGCTTCGACAACTGGAGGCTTTGATTCCAAGTCTCTGCAGGGAGTTTCGGCAACTGGAAGTTTCGATTCTAGGTCTCTGCAGGGTGTTTTGATGACTGCGAGCTCAGAATCCAACTCTCTGCAGGCAGTTTCGACGACCACAAGTTCTGCTTCCAAGTCTCAGCCATTTTTTTCGAATGTCTGGTTTGCGTTGGATGAGCACTCCGTTTCCATGGCTGAACAATCCGTCGCCAAGTTGGAGCAGTCTTTTACCAAGTCTATGCGGGCTGTTTCAAAGGTATTATTTCATCCTTTGCTCGTACGTCACTATTTGAGCTTTTTCACGCAGACACTTGTCATCACCACGTATGAGCTCCTCGCTATCACCAAGACCATCCGTACTGCATCCACCACAGGGGACTTGTTCACCGCTGAAAAGATCCTCACTCAAGAGATCACTGCCAACGCCAAGAACTTCGCCTCCTATGCCAACCGCTTTTTCGTTTTGGCACACAAACTCGACTGGGACAATGCGCTTAAGGATGCAAACAAGGTGACAACGATCCATCACGCCCTGGTTAAAATTTCGCTGACTCCGATGGTCACACAGTCCCTTGCCATATGGGAAAGCAGCTTGTCGACGACGGGAGGAAAGCCTTTGATCTGGCATTCATGTTCACGCATGGAAATATGGATGCCACTGCGTTCCTTTACTTGATCAAGGCAGGTCTATTTGTTCGTCTTGCGTACTTCACTCTTCACTACGTGTTTCAGGCTATTGCGCTCTTCAATGCTAACAGGCACAAAGAGTCAGTGCAGCGTGTGGAGCAGTTGTCTGCTGATCCTTCTGCAGATCCCCTCGTTCACTTATGTTCGTCCGCCGACTGATGGGTCTGCACTTCGAGCATCAGGCAAGTCTGCGACTCAAATTAGGAACCATTGCTTTCAATGGCGCGCATCATAGTGAGGCCATCGAGCACTTCACTGCCGCTGTCAAGGCTAGCACTTTCTTGGCTAAATCCGCCGCCCCTGCTGCCTGCGAGGCTTTCACTGTGGTACGTTGAATACGACGTCACCGGAAGACTCAACCGCGCTCAACTGCGCCTGTTTTGCAGCTCTTCGGATGGGACATCGAGTCGTTGTGGGAAACCTCCAACAAGCAACTGATCCTTGCGCTCCTTAGGGCTGGCAAGCTTGGAGAAGCCTTCGAATCATACCGTTTCGCGATGACCGCAAGTGACAAAGCTACAAGGCTGGCTGGGTCTTCAGTGAGTCTTGCCAGTAATGCTATATGCTGCGGTGCTAACCCTTTTGTCACACAGCTCTTACGTTGTAATGAACGGTCCTTAGTACGTTAGATTAGGGCGCAAGCCATTCTGAATGCGTCGTTTATGTGTTATACTCTTCACATTCGACGTTATTGGATACATTTCCTTATGCTTTAGATCTTTCTTTCTATCCCTACGTCGCCCTATCCTTTGTACTTGACGCTTTGACGTCGCGTCCCTTACAGCGTTTCACCTAATCAGTTCGTTACGCCTCGTTGTTCACTGCCTTGTTTCTATCTACCTCCTTCCTTCCTTCATCTATACTCATCTTGGCCGTTGAGCCAGCCCTGTACTCTGTTATTCCTTTGCAGAATCGCATTCAATGTTTTTCCCGCTCAAAGTACGTCTGAAATTTTATCGCTTGTCTGAGTCGTCACTCGTTTTCGTGTTCTCAATACACGCGTCCGCATATCTATGCCGTCTCGCTCACTATTCCCCTTCGAATTCACTATCAGTCTTACAGTGTGACTTCTCCGCGGACATATGTATAAGATCATGGAACTTCTCACCGATGTAGCAATTTGCGTCAGCCTTGCGCCTTGTGTACCATTGCTTCGAAGTACATCAGCCAGACCACCCCCATGGCAAGGTTTAATCAGTAACACACATTGGCACCCATGGTGCACTGTGATTTGGAATTGACTCTTGCATGCCATGACTCCTTGTTGTTTGGGCCACACTTCGGACGCCCGGGGGTAGCGAAGTTTAGATGGCACAGAAACGAAATGACATTCGTCCACTCTCAAGTTGGCACGGAAGACACTAAGTAGTATGACATGACACAGCCACCTACTACACATTACAATAGCGCGATGGGCTGAAAAACTGCATCTGTAATCCCATCTAATCTCCACGATCACTGAACTGACCATGAATGCAACGGACGCAGCCAGCTGGTTGCCTTGGTACCCGAAAGTGAAGAACGATATGAGCGACGCCAAAATAAGAGCAGAGGTCCAGATCATGGAAAACAGCACTGAGTTGATTCAAGCTAGTGAAATGGTGCGTCAGTCGACATCCAAAAAAACGATGATGCGGCAATTTACCCTTCACCATCCCATTCGTCTCCACCCCTCGTGCATCCGTGCTCCGTTTAATCCAGTGGTCCCCCCATGCAAAGAACTTGATGAATTTGACAGCACTGATGAGTTCATTAAGGATAGCCATGCGTTTTTCTCGCGAAGCAGAGACACCCTGCTGAATGTGAATGCTGCGTTGAGTGCCAAAGCTGTTCAGGGGTCAGGCAGTGAGAGGAACGATAAAGCCCGCAAATGCAGATAGACCAGAAGACTATAAATGTGCATGAATTAATTGATGGACGTTCTTACATGTAGAGGAAGGTTGTGACGATGATAATGTCAAATGGACCTATCAACAGCGATAAAATCAATACCACAAGCGTTGGACATCGGTTTCCGCCTGATGCGACATAAATGAGAGCTCCCGAGTGGATAACTTGAATACATGCCTTTATCAACATGCACAGCAAGGCCAACAAAGCATAGATGGATGCTTGTAACCGGTTCTCTGTGGTAGGTACATCGGTAGTATCAATGATGCGCCTGAGAATCGTTGGTCTTGGGGACCTGTAGGAGACCCGCTTTCAGCATTTATCCCCGGGCGTTGGTGTTAGCCTTTTTCCATCCCGGGTACTGAAGAGCTGCCATGACCTAACATTCTGAGTCGGGGAGGGTGGGTCACCCTAGGACGGCGTGCTATTAAGTGCACACCTATCAGTCAGACCTTCATGCGGAAGTCACGTCCACGCACCTAACCTAATGATAGGATTTTCCTTCGCCCATGTTGAGTTGGAGAGAAGTATTTTTCCCCTTGCAGGGTAATATCATCTCCCGCGCAACCTTCATCTGGACAGGCCGTGCCAAGAACTGGCTTTCAATCTGCAACGCTTATCATTAATAATCGTGAACAAATGACTTGTCTCTGAAGCGTACCTGTATTAAAAGCCAATCAGGGGGGTAGGTTCGACGGAGGGCACGAATTGATGCGCGCTCGAGAAGGTGGTTGGTGAATGGGGGAAGATCAAGTGTAAGATGAAGGTCTGAACATCCTTCTGAGAAAGTGGAAAGCTGCATGCCGTAGTCCATAATAGATTTTGCAGCTGGATGAAAACCGTGGTGTTGAGCGAGGGATGTAAGACATGACCAAGAAACTTTCGGCATCTTCTGAAGATGTGTGGGATACCAGACGCGCATGGTTGACAATGAACTGATCTCGCGCAAAAGATCTGCATCGCGAGGGCAAAGCTTCATGAAAGACAGGCCAGCCGCGGAATGCAATGATCCCCTCTTCTAGCGCAATACTTGCCTCTTGAGTAGAAGATGTTCCCACCGGCCATGTTAGCGGCCTCTTCAGGATCAAGTTCGAATCCATGCCCCAACACAGGTAAAATGACGGCCCAAAGATGTGATTCTCCCTGATTGTCGAGGGGTTGGGTTTTTGAGGTGGGAACCCTGTCAAATAATCTGATATGTTTGAATTTAAAACGCTGACGCTACACCCGTTAGAATGATGGCTCACTTGGTACTGCACGAATTCCCGGAAGTACACCCCGCATACGCTCTCAGCATTGATACTCGTATTCATGCTCGAGGTCTTTTCTAGCTCGGACTGGTCGTCCGCTGCTGCCAGAATCTTGCACAACTGCTCACCAGTGAGAATGATGGGAAGCGGATGGCGGTAGCTGGTGAATTGACATTTTTAACAAGCCATCCATAAATACTGGCAAGTATACTCACATTGATGGCAGAGATATCGATATCCTCCCCTGTCACAGCTGACCCTCAGCAGAGGCTGGACGAGTATTGGCCAGTGACGGGGGTGAAATGGGTCACGCATGCCATCGTTGGCGATTGTGGAAAGTAAAGTTTTCAACTTATGCCAGTGTTGACGGCACACTGAAGGATGGTTGGGTCGGGCAGGTCGGAGAGGTGGATGGGCTCCGGACGCGGGATTAAATCTAGAAGAGCGATCAGAGCAGTGAGGAGAGGTGGCCAATGCGGCTTACTGTCTGCCAACTCACAGCACCGTATTCACCCGCAATGAATCGCAAGAGGAGGGGACCCATGCAAAAATGGCGCGAGGAAAAAAGAACAGTGATCTCCAGGCGCCCGAAGCTCCCCTCAGGGCGTCAGCCTTTGTCGGATACCAAAACAGTATCCTGACGCACCGAGCACTCGGGGACCCGCTGGAAGCCTCAAAACAGCCAGAGGAAAACCACTCAGCGATGCCAGTAGACTAGTGGGGTAGTGGATGTCGATGATTGGTGAAGCGCTGAGTAACTTCGACGATTATGTAATCCTCCTCAGGCTGTCTATCAATCATCGATGTGAAGCCAAAACACTTAACAACATCTCAGACGTAATAGTAAAGACTGGTTACGAGTCTAGCGAAGTTCGGCATTTATGAGCTGGAACAAATTGCAATGCCCCGTTTCAAACTTTGACTTGCTCTCCTTCAAGTTTTACATGTAAGTCTTGTGTGGCAAAGCACCAAAAAGTCATACAATGTGTTACCATTTTCCTTCTAAACTCTCATCCCCTTCTTTCAGTACTGATGGCCATCAGCACAAACACCACAGGATCCGCTTCACAGGGAAATTTCGAATCAAGTGATAGCTTGTCGGCAATGGTGCGTTCATTCTTATTCTTATTTCAGGCTGCTCATTCACGTGGTTGCTAAGTCGTGCAAGGAAAATTCGGTGCGACTCCACAAGACCAATGTGTCATAATTGTGTGTGCCGCTCGAATGAATGCCAATATGACGCAACACCTAAACGGCGAGGGCCTGATAAAAGGCCAGGCACTCGCCAGCGCTCACATAAGAAACGTCCGATTGATGGCTCACCGCCTCCTTCCCTTCCATCCAAGCGGAAACGCACTCAGAAATGACGACTCCGAGCTTCTGAGGGAAGCTTGTGGACTTCCCAATGTTCCCGCTTTGTGGCCTGGAGGGGATATAATTCAATTCCAGCCCTGGTTTTCACCCACGGGCTCTGACCTTTCTTTTTTCCAATCCTAGTGCCCATGAATACCACCATCTCTCTACACCCTCCCATCACCCTTCACACCAGCTCTGCGCTTGCTTCTTCAACCTGCAGCCTAGCTATGCCGCCACCGCCACCAATTTTTTTCGGAACAGCACATCACGCATCACGACCGAGCGGCATGTCCGCGTCAAGATCCAGCGCCACCTCCGCGCTCGTCGTTGATATTTCCTTCGTTATCTCTTCCCATCAATCCTCGTTGTCTCTGTCCACCAATTACCACTACCTGATACCCTCATTTTTTGCTCGATGATCTCCACTGCATCCTGGATTTTCTCTCCTCCTTGCAGTTCCACCTCGTTATATACTACCCTACTGTTTACATAGATGTTCCTGTCAAATACTTTGATAATTTGTATATCATACCCTCGAGCTCACTCAGTAAACCAAAGACACGAATTTTTGAGTTCATAATTAAAATATTATCAGGAAGAGGCGAAACTACACATTCAAGTTCTATATGGGAGGCAGTACTAGTAGGACACCAGGATGCCAAATTGGTGTATGAGGAAGTGCTGCCCAAAGGAATGCGCTCGATCATAAGCATCGGTGCGGTAACCCAGCCGAAGTCCATCGAAAGCGTGCAAAAGGATTGGGGGTAGCATCATAGGAGGTATGTTGATATCGAGTATTGGTCGGGTACCATGGTGGTGAGTGTTTAAGGGAGTGGCGCGAACAGCACGGAATAGGCATGCGCGAGGGCAGTGAACTACTTATATGGTCAAAACAGAAATAGGTTTCAAAGTTTGAAATTTTTTTCTCTCCTTGGGCTGGTACATATTTTAGAGGGATGCCCAAGGATTAATATGAGCCCGGAATGAAAGAAATCGGCGGTTGGGATCTGTAGATAATGTCAAAATACTGAGTTTTTCATCCCACCAGCCAAGGTCAACAGTGCTGACCTCCAGAGACCCTGGGACCATCACCAATCGATTTCTATGCTTTAAAAACACTGGGACAACCATTTTCAGTATCGGTTTTGAGTGAAATGTGAGTGTTGTAAAATATATGGGGTAGGAGGGGGGGGGAGGACCTTCTGTATCTCAACAACCTGATTTTTCCTGACATATTGGGCTTCACCATCTTGTTCAGGGACATCAAGAGCACCCCGGAAAAATACTCCTAGAGCACAAGCAAGTCATGGGAAGCCTAGAAAAATCGATCTTTGAGGGGGGTATCATGAAAACTCGCATATCTTAATCAGGATGGGCCCAAAACACTCTGGGACCATTTCCAATCGATTTATATGCTCTTAAAACAGTAGGAACACTTATTTATATACCGGTATTTATATAATACCAAGATATATGAGTTAGGAGGGGGGAGGGGGACCCTACATATCTCAACAACCTGATTTTTTCTGACAAATCTGGCTTTACCATCGTGTTCAGAAGAATCAAGAACCCCCAGGAAGAATACTTTTGAAGTGCTGACAAGTCATGTGAAGCCTAGAAAAATCGATCTTTGAGGGGGGGTACCAGGCAAACTCACCCATCACATTCCATATTGGTTCAGAACACTCTGAATCCATCTATAATCTATTTGTATCATCATTAAACACTAGGAACATCCCTTAGCACATCTGTATTGACATAAAATCATGCTTCTTGGTGGAGTAGGTGGGGGGAGGGGGTACCATGACTCTGAAACATGATTTTTTCGGACGAAATAAGCATTGCCATCAGATTCAGATTGGTCAATAACCTCTGAATCGAGTTCTATTCGAAGCCAGGCAAGTCAAATGGAGGCTGAAAAAATCAATCATTGGGTGAGGCAGCATGACAGGGGTGACACTGCTTACATAAGCGAAAGCGGTGGACTTGAGCACGCTTAGAACAAGACTTGATAGATCAAATATTTCTGTTGCTGCTGAATATATATCTATCAATCACCTTGATGATGAGCCTGAGATCAAGTCATATAAAGGCTGAAACAATCGACCTTGGGTTGAGGACCTCAGCATCACAGACATTCATAACTTTGGAATGTGATTTTTTTGAACAAAAAGGGCATCACCATCATATTTAGAGAGCTCAATAACCCCACATTAAAGGTGTATTTGAAGCCAAGCAAGTCATATGAAGGTTAAAAAAATCAATCATTGGTTGAGGTGGGCCTGCTTACATAAGCAGAAAAAATGCGGAGGCAGCACAATAGGAGTGGTTATTTTTCATGGACAAACACATGTTTCCAGTCCATTTAGCAGGTTCTATAATATTGAAAACAAGTACTGGTTCAAGTCTGGCCGATCACATGAAGACACAAAAAATGAAACTTGAACAGAGGCCGCCAGTCAACTGAACTGACCAACATGACTTTTGTTGACGACGTCTCAACCACCAGACCATCCAGTCATTACAGCTAGAGACAAAGATGTGAGGAAGGCGAAGGTAGTAATTTCGCGACTGGTGCATGTCTAGAATAGATATCAGAATAACAGGTAACACAGATTCTGCTTCATCTTGAATCACCAGTATGAGTTCACCTGTTTTCCGGCCATACAAGGGTCCCACCCATACCAACCTCATAAGTCCCTCCATCTTGTCGGAGAGGCAGGAAGCTCTGAACTCTATGAAAGTTCTCTTGCCCAATCAATAGATATCAGAATAACAGGTAACATGGACTCTGCTTCATCTGATTACCACCTTCACCTTCCTCGTTCCTTTGTCTCTCACTGTAATGACTGGACAGTCTAGTGGGTGAGACGTCCCCCCGCAGTTGGGAAGGACTAGGTTCAAATTATATAGGACTTTTCTAATTGGGTTAGGGTTTTGAAGGGGTTATTTTAGAGGGTTTGACTTTTAATAAATCTCAATTATATCTACAAATCCCTCCAATGGAACCAGTTGCATTGGAGGTTGGTTGGTTGGATGTATATATGCCCCTAAGTTAGTTAGTTAGTTGGTTGGATGTATATATGCCTCCAATGGAACCAGTTCCAATGGAGGTTAGTTAGTTAGGTTGGTCAGTTGGTTAGTTGATTGGTTGGATGTATACATGCCTCCAATGGAACCAGTTCCATTGGAGGTTGGTTGGATGGATGTATATATGCCCCCAAGTTAGTTAGTTTGGTTGGCTGGTTGGTTGGTTGGATGTATACATGCCTCCAATGGAACTGGTTCCATTGGAGGTTAGTTGGTTGGTTGGATGTTTATATGCCTCTAATGGAACTAGTTCCATTAGAGGTTGGTTGGTTGGTTGGATGTATATATGCCTCTAATGAACCCAGTTCCATTGGAGGTTGGTTGGTTGGTTGGATGTATATATGCCTCTAATGAACCCAGTTCCATTGGAGGTTAGTTGGTTGGTTGGATGTATATATGCCTCTAATGAACCCAGTTCCATTGGAGGTTGGTTGGTTGGTTGGATGTATATATGCCTCTAATGAACCCAGTTCCATTGGAGGTTAGTTGGTTGGTTGGATGTGTCTAATGTTAGTTAGTTAGGTCAGCTAGTTGGTTAAATGTATATATGCTTCCAATTGTTAGTTAGTTAGAATATCCCTTTGCAAGATGTCACGTCAGCAACTTATCTGCAATCTCTGAGTATCAGTCGGCTTACATCCACTTGCAATGTGACCTGAGCTTCTTCAATTGCAAGGCCTTTGGCCAGCCATGTTGCCATGCCGTGGCGGTGAGTAGGCCCTGGGTGCTGTGCTTGCTCAGCTAACAAATGTAGCTCTTGCTGCTTTCTTATTGGTGCTGCTGTCACATAAGTACAGACCTGCCATGCAAAGGAAATGAAGTAACCTTTTTGAAGTTGAACTTCATAAATGTCCATTGTGGTTGGATCGCTATGGCGCTGTTCCTGCGCCAACTTCTCCTGGGCTTCCCAATCGCTGACTTGATTGGCATCGGCGGTCTCATGAAGCCTGTCAAATGCCAGTTTACCGTCAGCCACCCCCTGCACTGCTTCCTTGTATTTCCAGCAAAGGGACTTGCCTATAAACCATTTCATGAGATCTACTTAGAGAAACAATCATTTATGACATTCTACCACTCACTCATTCTAATCATTTTCATAAAGTTGCAATCATTCATTTGGTAATCCAGGCATTCTTTTCAGTGAAGAGTGCCCATCCCATAAGCTGCCAGCAATATGATGTTTAATGGTGCCCACAGTATCTCCATGATCTCGCCGTTGATTTGAGCTGCACCAGGTACGAAATTGGACGCATATCTGACATAGCAACTGTCTTTATGGCCATGAACATGCCATAGTCCAATGCTGGGGATGATATTTAGCTCCCTATGAATCTCAAGGAAAGGACTATCGGCGATGTGCTCCTTGAGATGCTTGTTATACTGACAGTTAACATCATAAAAGGTCAATGCATGGTAAATTCCTTCGGTGTTCACTTTCAATGCCTCACAGAGTGCACAATCCATGTTCATTTGTCTGCTGGCCATCAGTGATTGCAGGCTGATCATGAGGTATGTTACATACCTTTCTCCCTTCTGAAAGTCCACCATTGTGTGGGGCACAAAACAACCATGCCTTGCACAGGCACAACCGCCAATTCCAGTGGCTTCCAGTCTGTGACAGGATACATTTACCTGATTGACTGCCCGGTAATTGTTGCACTCCAAATGTTAAATGCCATCGTTGGCAATGGCCAAGTGCTTCTTGTAGAGTAGATTGCCGACCATGAAGCCACAGCCATCTATTAGAGATACTTTATCGGTGGGATTTACTGCATGGAGATGCTCAGCTTTGAAGTTTCTGTCCATGACAAGAGATCTAGTGTAAAGCCAACTCAGCATCTCCAGATTGGATTCTTGGTCAGCATTGCAGGCCTCGGAAGATTCTCCCATTGGCAATGTGAGGTTGATCCCTGGCTGGGGACACACCGGACAGAAGAGAGTGAGATCGCCGGGTCTGACTTCCTTCTCCTCATGGCTGAAGTCATTCCATTTCAGGAGCTTCAGTTTCTGCCATTGTCTGGCTACCCTCATGAGCTCTCTGTAACAGTTCTTCATCCTAATTAATGACACAGCCAGTGAGTGATCAATGAACCTACCAGCACCAAGTTGGGAAATACACATATTGTCATCCTCCTTAATTTGCTGTAATAATTCATTACTGAGATCCCACACTCCAGGTTGTCCAGCAAGAAGTCATCCAAGACATTGAATGTGAACGCTGTTTTTGATTCTAAAAATGAGGCCAGAAACAGACCCATTTGAAAGAGCTGTATATCGGCAGCCACAGCCTCTGGGCATGTGCAAAACTTGACAATATTAGGATGGGTAAACCTGCAGATCTCCAGACCTTGACCCGCACCCATACCCGTGTATCCAAGGGTATCAGCAGGTATGGTACCCATGAGGGGTAAACCGATGGGTATACATACAAATGTAGCTACTAGACATGCATAGACTACAAAATAATATCATTGCAGCCCTCATCCAACTCCCGCTCTTCTCCTTCAAGGTTTCACCAACAACAAGGATTGTTTGTCTGCTGAGAAGATCAAGTGCATAGTCAATGAGGCTGAGAAATACAAGGGTATCTTTCTGCTTATCTATGATATCTATAAACTACAGCTGACGACCATGCTGCTCATATTTCGGTCAAGAACAGCCTTGAACCATATGCATACAACCTTTGCAAATCAGCGAGAGGCTTGCTGACAAGTCAAAGCTTGAGAGCTACATTAATGAGATCATCTTCTGGCTTGATGCATCACAAGACTTGGCAAGCATCAAAGAGGAAGTAAGAGGGCAGACATACCCAGGGGTTTACCCATGTGACCCATGCATTTATGGGTATGGGTGTACTGCCGGTACAGATGCAGGTAGAGCACACTGTACCCAAGGGTTTGCCGTGCTAATGCATAAGCTGAGATGAGCTGAGACAACACTACATACACTTGTGGGAAGAACCATTGTTATGTTTTGTGCTTATAGGGAAAGACCTGTATCCACCAGTGGGAGGACCATTGGTATTTTTTACCATCATAGGGAAGGACCATATCAAGAGGGAAAAGACCATTAGTAGTTCCGGGAAAGACCATATTGGGAGGGAAAAGACCATTGGTATTTTTTACTGTCAGAGGGAAAGACCATATTAGGAGGGAAAAGACCACTGGTACTTTTTACTATCATCGGGAAAGACCAGATTGGGGGGGAAGGACCATAGGTACTTTTTAAAATAATCAGGAAAGACCAGACTGGGCGGGGAAGGACCATAGGTACTTTTTAAAATAATTGTGAAAGACCAGATCAGGGGGAAGGACCATAGGTACTTTTTCAAATAATTGGGAAAGACCAATGATACATTGGGACAGACCAAGTATGGACCACATGCACAGATAATTCTAACGAGAAACCCCCCATGGGAAAGAAACCCCGACATCAACAGGAACATTGAGTAGAAACCTCTGCTTACCTAATGAAGACCGCTGTTTGTTTCCGCCGTGTGCACTGGTACTCAATGTTCAACATTTAAAAAATTTACTACGCGCTGCTGGCTTTCTGCCGTCGAATAATACACACATTGCCATTCAAAATACGAGCCTTGCGTGTGATGAAGACTCAACCAACCAGTGACCAACAGAACACATTCAATTCTAATCAAGTTCAACACACTTCAAGTTCCAGTGGCTCATCTACTGCCATCCGTTACCGAATCCAATCACAATTTTGCCGTGTGTGACCCTCCCATCGACAAAGCCCACATTTTCAAGGGGCTCTCTGAGTTGCGCTCATGGTTGACTCAAGGTGAGCCTGGGATGCTATTGGAGTGGCCACTATATTCTCTGAACAGATGCGGCTTCTCACCAATGGCCCTCCTCCACACGGTCTACCTTCAATGGCACCTGTGAGTCGTGCTGACCGCGGGCGCCCTTTCTGCTGAATGACTGGAGGGTTGTGGATAAGAGTGGAATGGGCCTCTTCAGCTTTGATTCTCCTGAGGGAAATATTTGATAAATTTAAATCAATGTACTGACAAAACATACCGCAGCTCATCAAGGTCCTGCGATAGCTCGTCGAGGTCTTCCTTTGTGTGGACGCCATTTATGAGTGGCTTGAGTGCAGCGTGAGTTTTGTGGTATACTTCACATGCACCAATAGTCTGGGTGGGTGGTACAGCGCTTTGCTGTATGGAGGAATCGAGTGGATTGGATTTGTGAGAAGACTTTGTTGTAAGAGATGTTGATCGAAGGGCAGAGTTATTCTGTGGTATGTTTTCTAGAGAAACTGATGACACAGTCTGGATGTCCAAGTTATGATCTTGATACCATCTGCATGAAAGTTTGTCAGAGTCGAGGACTACACTGTTGCACCACGCACCTTGCTCGGACGAGTCCAATATGAAACGATAAGGTTGGCATCCTGGTCAGTGCTTGAAAGTAGTGACGACAAGGAATGCCAAGGTTCATTCCCATGCAGCAGTCACACAGATAACTGTTGTTTTGAAGGATGGTGAGGAAGTGTGTCGTTTTCGTACCATGGTTGATTATCTTCAAGAGATGTTGTATCTCCAATCCTTGTGAACTTATCAGCTGGAGCAACCACTTGGTGGAAATATATGCCTCGTCATTCTTGAAGTTATTGATCATGTGCTGCGGCAACAGGAATCATTGCATGAGTTTTGTTTGACTCTAGTAGAACAAAACACAAACCTGTTCCTCGTTATCACACCATGTATAACCACGTTCACCGCTGTCTGCCTGAATTGCATACTCTGTCTAATGATACAGATAGTATCTGTGTTTCAAATCAATGATTCAAAGCAGATAGTTCGAAGGCACATACCCAAGTTTTTACACCCAATGTCGCTGGACAACCTCCGTTTCATAGAATAGACTCTCCTCCATCTCCTTGTGGCACTTTTGTAGTGCAAATGGACCAGCATGCTGTCATAACTGTGCAAGTGGTCCTGCAAAAAGTATTTCAAGGTTCTGAACATGTTGACGGTGTGATGACTGAAAACTTATTAGGATTTGGCATTTGAATACTATCAAAGTGTCAGGCTCACCTCTCAAACTTTAACCATTTCCTGGATAGTTTGTCCATTTGTTCTTTCATTGAGACTGTTGAATAGCTGAAGTAAGGTCTTTTTTGGTCCTCCGAAAACTTTGTTGATTCGATTCTCAGCCTCAACCTGACCATTCGTTCAAATACCTGCTGTGAAGACATGGCTCACCCAGGCCCAGGCCCAACGTTCTCGGCAGTCGTAGATTTTTTCTAGATATTTCTGAGCCCTGGGGAACTTTGCTGTGATGTTAGTCCATAGCCTCTCGAACTCGGTTGGTGATACTGCTCAATATACCATCCAAAAGTCATGCATAAAGTCCTCCCACTGAGAACCAATAACAATACGAAGGTTTTGTGTGATGTTCCCTGTGAGATGATGAAGACAATACAAGTGACGTGAGAGAGGTATTGTCTGGGATGCTGCAGAGATAAGTGAACCATGTCGATCTGAAAGAAAAACTTCTGGTGGGCACCGCGCAGCCTCCAAATGGCATTGGAAAATCCAACAGTGTGATTCCACATCTTCTGTCGCCTGAAAAGCATACCATGCATTCCGTGAGGCACTGAAATTGTCGATAACGATGCCAATGTTGAGCGGATAAAGGTACTGATTGCGGTTGTACGTGTTATAGTTGAGTGGGACTGAGCCACCAAAGGCCAATGACAACCTGGCTTTCATCCAGCTGAAGTTTATACTGCCAACGTTCACCATCATCAATCCTGCCTTGTAGCACAGCAATGATTGCTGCAATATCACCACCAAGTGCCTGCACATCCTCTCAAGCCTGACGACGTGCATTATTAATCATGTTTGATACTTGTTTAGGCTCGAGGGGGTGGTCTGTGAAACAGTTTGCAAGAATAGTGGATATGTGCTGTCGCTGGAAGCCATTGCTCGTTGCAAACTCGGAGACGACCTGATGCTGTGCTGTGGTTGGTGGTCGGACAATGGTACCCCCAGGAGGGATTTCTCGCGGGTGATTATGGTCCCAGTTGGTAAGAGTAACCTGCCACAATGTCGACCCACAGATGAGATTGAGATTGACATGAGCATTACAACCTGTCTTGATAGTCTTGCCTCTGCGGTGGTCAGAATGATCGATAGCCATGACACGTTTACTTTGTCCTCGGCGCCAACAATGCCCGCGGTTTGCCTCACAAGCATAAATGCAACGTTGGGCCTCTTCAATGCTCTCAAACACTGATCCAACTGCAATGGGATAACCTATGGTGCTGATACTGCGATCTGCAGTTGATGCTTTGACAGGTGGTTTGAACCATTTTGCAAGTGGCTGTCACTTGATTCCTGGATCGTCAGAGTCACTAAGTTCGATGATAGACCCAGATAACTCATTCTCCTTGTTGCTATGGCAACGGCGCTTTCTTGATTCAATGCAGCGAGGATGGGACATGATTATAGGACTATCAGGTGGTGTCTTGACATTATATCTTGGCAATGCACTTGTTGTGACATGGAGTGGTGAAATGAGGTCGATAACCTCAATTTTCATAGTTTGAAGTGGAGTCCATGGTTCTTGCATTGATGGCTCCAAAAATTGAGGAGGAGGAGATCGAAGTACGATGGGATTCACAATACTGTTCCCAGATGTCACGAAGTTGAGATTAGAAGTGGGATTGATGTTATTACTAGACATGTTCAGCAACAATGAGTCCTGAATAAAAAATATCACAACTGTTAGTATGCACGTAATGACTTTTCAAGTTCTCTTACATTTAAGACCATCTGATGAGATAACAAATGTCGAAAAGGGAGGGTAATTACAATTTCGTTCGAAATTAGAGTCTTGAATTTATAGATTGGATGAGAAGCCTGGAGACTAGATGTTAGTAAGTGAGACTCGTATAGGCTGTAGATTACTACCAATGGTATATACAAGTTGAAGTCATTAAAGCCAACGAAGTCTTCCGAGCAATTAGATTGAACCTCATTGTTTAGACATGGGCGAACCCAGTCAAGAAAGACTGTGTCCTAAAGAGTTAAATGAATGTGAGCCTCATGAAGTTTTGTGAATCTGATGAATTGGACTTACTGAAGTTCGTGCTGCTGCATCGTGATAGATAATAATTTCTTGCAGTGCCTTTTTTCGAAATTCTAGCGACGAGACATTATCCCAATACGGAACACTCTCATCAACAAGTGATTCGACAAAATTGTGAGCCACAATGCCACAGCTCCCTGATCCAGAAGACTGTAGTGTGAGTGCTCCCTTCTGGACAGAGCGTGGTGGTGGGTAGTTGCTGAGACCAGTAAGAATCCATGAAAAGATATTAAGAACATCAGAGGCCGGTTCTCATCCCATCGAGTCATTATGAAGAAGTTGTGTAGACTTGTTGTAGAAGTATGCTGCAAAATGATCATTATCCCAGACAATAAAGCCCATAGTCTGGACATCTGAACCACGCAGCCGGTGTAAAGAGTTGATTCTATGTGGGCGCTACAAAAGTGTTACCTTAAGACTCAGAGTGTAAGTGAGATGTTCATCCCTAAGAGACTGCCTATAAAAATGCTCCTTGATATAAAGCAAGGGATATCTTGTTAAGATCGAAGTGAGAGAAGGAAAGTTACCAAGAGTGCACTTGGTGTTCCGAGGATGTGTCCGAAGTACCAAAGTACTCGTCTGAAGTGGTCCGAAGGTGGTCCGACATCTAGAAATGAAGGTCCGAGGTTGCGTGAAGCGTCCGAAGAGCTTCCGATGAACAGCGAATGTTCCGAGAGAAGTACGGCGGGTGTATCAAAGTATAAGACCTCACGAAGTATAACTAAGCAAAGACTATCGGGAGAACTTAGAGACAGCAAGTAGTGAAATGGCAGCGGTCAGGCCAAACAATCGTTCCAAATGAACAAGGATCGATTGCGCGAAGTACGACTATCCGAAAGTGACCCTACTAACTATGACTCGTAGCAGGGAAAGTGAAGTGAAGTGTGAGTAGCTAGCGAGGCAGATTATATCCTACAGCGTGAAAGTCCGGAAACTGCATAGGCGAAACCAGTAGTGAGATAAGACATCCGAAATGTAATAAGACTCAAGGTGAGCCGCTACAGAGATATGCATGTAATAAGGCGCAAGGCATGTTTGTTATGCATATAACCGACGGGCCGACAACATATGTGCCCCTAAACATAATCAATAACAGATAACCAAGTGGAAAATGCACCAGCGAAGTCAAACGGACACAGACAGGACATGGTACGGAGGATCGGAACTGTATACAGGCCTCAGGAATGGACGGACGACCTTTGGATGACTCAGATGAGCGCGCGGAACTCTCAGAAGGTAAATGGAGTGTCGAGGGATATGTGTGTGGAATACCTATGGGATTGGCAGGATACGAGCCCAACGCCGATCCGAGTGCTACACCGGTCTTGTAATGCAGCTATATTTTGACTAAACACCTGTGGCTGCTGAGCATAGAGGTACCTTGCATCATTAAAAAATGATGTTGGAAGAAAAAGAAAGTTGGAACAGCTGAATTTGGATGCTGATGCTAGCCGGAAATACAGCAATTCAGCCATTCCATTGAGGACATCCTCTTCGACCCAGTTCTCGTCCAATAGACACCCAAGTTTCCACAAAGGGAACTCGGTAATATGAAATCCTCGGATGTGCTGTGTAATCGATAATGAAAGGAATTTCATTGCTGCTGTGCGTGAAATTGGAAGGGTTGTTGAGACAAATTTATAGATCTGACGTGCATAGAGTATTTTTGGATGGAAATTATTGATTTCTGTAAAAAGCCGTATCTAGTAGATAATAACAAGGTTAGGCTACAAGCATTTAAAAATCAAGAGTTTTATACCTTTGTGAAGTGATATGTTCATGAAATAGGTTGCCCATTGATTATTGCCTCTATAGACACAGACCGTGCACCCTTACTAAAAACCTCCTCCATTTGTTGGATTATGGGTTGTAGGTCATCCGAGTGAAGGGCAACTTCACTGGGGAGAAGAACAGTAGCTATTGCTGAGCCTGGGACATCAAGATCAAAGCACCAGCGAGAAATGGAGCCAGCTGGAGCAATTTCAGGAAATTCAAGAGACAAAGCATTGTTGAAGGTAATGCTCCGAAAGTAATTCTTAGAGTAAGCTGAGAATGGATTAGGTGTTGAATAAGATTCGAAGGATTCACTGGAACTCATTCACGGTGACCAGACCCAGTGTCAGGCTGCAGTGACTGTACTAGTAAGTGAATCGTTGCAGGTTTGTCATTAAAAATGCAGCCACTATGATAATAATGTGAGAATATACTGAAAATTGGATACCAGGCAAGCAAACTTAGTCAAAACATAAGTCTTATTTCTGAATTATGCAGCAATTCCTAGCTCTATTACTACCCACCAGATAAATGGTGCTTTCGAGCTGATCTACTCACTTGCCCCTTTTAGCAGTACGGTGCTGGCAGTGGGCTCTGGCCGTCAGAAACTCTGCTACAGTATTGAAAGTCAAAAGGGTTTCTGATGACTAAGCAAGTACCTCCAGGTAAGGGGGTTTCTCATTAGAATTATCCCACATGCACTTATGGGAAAGACTATTAATATTTTTGCACTTATAGAGAAAGACCAAGGTATTGTGCATATATTAAATTTATTATGTAACATCTATATGCAATACTATCTCATAGGACATCTTGTAGGGGATGATGGCATAAAATCATCTTCAATGTCATCTAGGTCATCATCAGGGTCTATATCATACCTATACTCATCCACCAATGCAATGTCTTCAATTGCATCCATCAGTTCATCATCTCCAATCTCACCACAATCCGAATCACCCTCATCATCCTCTTCCACAGGTCCTACACTCTGGTCATCCTCGTCCCGAAAAGATGGCTGCGCCTGTTCATTCGGCAATAAGATTGGAGATGTGATCACGAGCTAAAATGGTCAACACCTGGTACCAGTGAAATGCATTGGTGAAGCGACGGCACAGGCTATGCTAATACAAGGTTACATATGCTATGTACGTGGAGGATCAAATGCTAACCATCGATGTCAACTTGTATCCCATTCCATCTAGAAACGTCTCCACTGCATTGCATCACGCAGTATGGTTGGGGGACTGACGAATGAAAAGAAGGCAGACAAACTCTAGAACACGTAAGTCTACTGCGAGTGAGGGAGCAACAGGAGCACATGGGAACAGCCCACGACAAAGGAGCTGGAGAGGGGCAGGAAAACAGGGGCACACAATGATATTAATTTCTGACAAGCCTGTAATGTACATTAGATCAGCCATCGGGGGAGAAAAGAAGGTAGACAACATACTGTCAAAGAACACGCATGTAACCTTGATACTGCATGTCCCACACCCAGCATGACAAGCTACAGTATCTCCGTGTGGCTGTCGTACAATGTTGGCATAGCATAGCATTGAAGTCTCCTGCATGTACAATAGATAGGGCACTATAAGCGATGGAATAACTTCTTCTGACTATCTGCGCCACTGGTTGGTCTTTTTCTGTGAGCTGGTGAGATCACGGACACTGGGATCATTAAAGAAATGGAGGGAGTCGCTAAAAGGATATGTGGGTCCGTCATGATCTTGGGGGGTAACCATCCTAGGTGCGGATGGAAGAGATAAACTTTGCTGAGTGAGATGCTGACGTCCAGGCATAATCAAGACAGGGGGTGGGCCAGGAAGATAGAGGTCTAACTTGCGAGTCTGGCAGGGATGTCGCCATGCCTTGTTCATCCAAGGTTCACAGACTATAGTATTCAGGGGCAGTTCTTCCTGCGTGGCAGATGCCGCTTCCAGAGTAGATACTTTGCGACATCTAGGCTTAGGACGACGGACCGCCATAGCGCAGCACTGTAAGAGTCAATATAACGGGCACCACACACCAACGACATGAAGTCAATTGGAGTAAGTGAGACACCAATGACACAAAGTCACTTGGATGAACTCATGAACGGAAGTCACCAATGACGTGAAGTCAGTTGGAGTAGCTGTGGGGCTTGATTATCAGTGACAGACAGGAGAGATCAATAAAGGTCAAGCATACAACCTGACCTGCATGTTGGATGAAAAGGGAGGGAAAAAAAATGAAGTATAACAAGCGGAAGCGAATGATCAACGGGATAATAATTCAGTATCAGAATGGGAAAATACAGAGGGAAAAAGTTTGCATTGTCCCTTCAGGTTAGCCCGATCAGGCATTGACCACATGTCACAGAGGTTCTCATCATCTCACTCAGGGAGGCACAAACACGGGCAGAGTAAGATAATGGAAGGAAGTGGAGGATGGAGAAGGTAAATATAATAGAAATAAAAGTAAGTTGGGACAAACCGCTCGAGTTGGTGGCCGCAGAGAATGTGAACATATTATGTCCCATGCCTGCACAGAAAAGTCAAGCAGAAGGCTGGAGAAACAAATACATGCACCATGTCACTAAAACGGGACTAGAGGAAACTACGGAAGCATCCGTTTCACCATTACGGCTGAGGGAACATGATATTTGTACACAAACACGGAAGAAAATGGAGTACGCGATGTAGCATTATGAAATCATGATTACAGGGGGAGCGAGTGAGGAACAATGGGAGGCCTACCAAAGTGATCGAAAAATGTCTGAACATAAAACCCAGTCGCAGCGCGAGTGACTTCCCAAAATTTTGTGTCTGTAAAGGTCTCTTGCATGAGCGGCGATGTAAGAAGGGGCGGCACATCATCCCAAGAGCACAGCAGCTGTCGGAAACTTTCAAGGTACAGAAGAACACCAATTAAGGTGTTATTCCACATCCCGTAATTGTCATTGGAAACGGCTCTGACCACATGACAAGGCCAGCCTCACCAGGGAAGATGGCATGCAGCAACTGTTCGCGACCAACTGGATCTTCTGCCCAGCATCCTTTGGCTAAGTGATGATCGAGATCCCTCAATTCATAACGGAATCCAAGCTCAAACAACTCCCAGGTAATCTTTTGGGCAAGGAGCTGGGGAGGGTGGGCAAGACTGGCAACAGGGACCTGTTCACCACAAAATTCTACCATTCCTTCTGGCGCAAATAAATCTCCATGAGAGTCCACCATATCATCTCCGAACAAATCCTTCATCATTCCCTTGCACTTCTCCGCCACAGTAAGAACTTTTTTTTCAGGAGCTTTTCCTTTGGGTGCTGCAGCTTGTGATTGGGCAGAAATCCTGCTACCGAGGAAGTCATGCCATAGTTGAGGGGACGGGTAATTGTGAGGAGGGTTGTGATCAACCCGCACAATCCATATTGGACGACAGGTGAGCCAAGTGGCTATGTATCCCTGAAGGCGCTCCAGCAGCTTGGGACCAAATAGGAGACCTGGTTCGGGGAACCTGTATCCTCGGTCAATGACGTAGGGAGTGCGGACACAAGATGAATCCTTGATGCATCTTTTAAGGGCATCATCCCAATGAAGCATTGACGGCAGGAAGTAGGGGCTCTCAGGATCTTTCCATTTGTCCCTAATGGATTCACCTGACTGGTTGTGGTGCGTGGGTCGAGCATCTTTGACATCTAATATTTAGTAGTTAGTTGTGATACATAAGAAAGAGGGGCGAGTAGTACTTACAGGGCTGGTGTCTGTGCTTCTTGTTATGATGTTTTGGAAGGGCCTTGCCTGCAACAGATGGTTGAGAGGATGGCCCAGCAGTAGAAGAACCAGGTGCAGATAAGCTGCTCGACAAAGGATTTGGCTCAGGGTCTCTGAATGTCGTGCCCCCATAGAGGTGGCGAACATGAAGCTGATGATTGTGGCCGCCTGGGCTGCGATAGATGATTTAGTACAGTCGAACTTTGTTGCCCTCTGCATACATTGAAAGGATGATTTGATCAGGACGGGTGAGTAAAACAGGCTGTTTTACTGTCATATTCGAAGGTATGTATGGTGCAGACATACCAAACAGGGATACCAGCAATGTACAGCTTGTTGCACATGTCGCTGTCGTGCATGAAGGTGCCCATCCACTCTGAGTTGACGATGGCAGTCCTGTCACTGGCAGTGATACGAGGCTGAGCAAGGAGGATCCAGTCCATGAATGAATAAATCTCAAGAAACAGCCATTGGGCATCAGTCACGAACATGAGAAGGTCGCGGAATGTAAAGGGAGTCTTCAACCGTGAGATGCCATGTCGAAGGGACAAGACGCGACTGACAACAGCGTCATTCTTGCCTTGCTGATTAGCTCTCCAATCCTGCACCCGCTTCTTTGCCAATTTGCGAAGAGAATCCAAGCCTTCGACCTTATCCACTGCGAGCGTGCCTACAGGGAATGAGTTGCCTGGGATTGGCTTGAAGTCTTCTTGGGTGGGAGTGAACCAAGCCCAATGTAGCGGATGCGGGGATGGGAATGCCTCCTTTCGAGGAATGCAAGTCGAATTGCAAAAAACATTATTGTAAGCTTGAGGCCACTGAAAGCAATCTATGGTGCCGAAACGACCATCCACACAAGCCTGTACGGTTTCCTCTTCAAAATGGTGGAACACGGGAACGAAGTCCATGTTCGGCGTTGTGATAACCAAATTTCCTTGGACAGCAACAGCGTGGGCATCAAAAGCTTGCAGCCATCCTGTAGTATGTATGCATATTAGTAAGATACAGACATCAGAAATAACCCCTCCTACCATCCTGAAGAGTTGTGTTGCTCTTGAACATCGATAGAGCGGTGGGCATGATGAAAACTGCCAAGTTTAAGTAGCGCATACTTGATGAAAAGTCACAATGCACCTGTTATGCACTCAAATAGATCTGTTAGGCGGAGCCCTAAGAGGGGCATTGTCCGCTAACGTTCGTGACGTAACCGGAAGGATCCAGTATAGCAAGTGAGACTGGCGACGATGAGTCGGCAGCGATCACAGTACGCGCGTGTCACGTGACTTCGTAGACGGATGTCTGAGAAGTCACTCAAAGTAAGGACAGTCTTGTCCGAACGATGAGTGTCGATCGAGGTAGACTTAGTTGCGATGAGCAACTAAGAAAAGATACTAGAGACTGAAGCTTTATGAGGCTTCAGAGAGAAGTATGTTCCAGGGAAGATTGAGTAGATTCAAGTTAGAGAATCTAGTACAGGATGACCGACTACTTATACTAAGTGGAGAGGGTTAAGGGCAAGGCTACCGCACTGTAGGTAAGGGTAAAGGGGAAACAAGAATGGTTTAGGTGCGTTGGCAACAGAGCTGGATTAGTGGTGAATGGTCGAATGTGGAATGAGACCGAGAAACATTGGAACGATCCAACGGTAAGAACACAACGTGTGGGAAACCGCAGTCAGAAGAGATCAAGAAGGGAAAGCCACATGGGTGGCATGAGTCAGACCGAGTCAGAGGTGCGGGACCACATTGGTGGTCGAGTCATAGGAGGAACGTGCATAGAGGCGGGCAATGTGAGGGACAGGAATGGTCCCGAGGATCCGGTCAACAGAAAGTCGGTAAAGGAGGACAAGCCGGTAGATGGTGAGGGTGAGGATGAAGGGAAAATGATAGGGGGGCCATGTGACTGATGTTACTTGTAACAGGATGCTGGCCGCCAAGCATCAGGGTTTTTCTCTGGGTCTGATATCATGAAGGATATCATCAATGCATGACAACTTGACATCAGTCGTATCTTGGACGAGCTCACAACTATTCTCAAGTGCATTTTCTGACAATACTACTGGATATTGCTCACTTTATTATAGGTACAAAGACTTAGAGGCTGTGCAAGCAGAAGGGATATCTTTTAGTTTTCTCCCTCGCTCTACCACTGTCCCAAATGGCACACTTTTGTGCAACGGCAAGTCCGCTAGGGACAGGAACAGAAAAGTCGCACCAATGATCATCAGCGAGAAGTTTGGTATGTTTTATTTTATTTTATTGTGTCGCTAATTTACTGATGCCATGTCTCATTGGTAGCTGAAGCTGGCCATCCACTCAAAACCTCAAACAACAGGTGGTTGGACATGCTCAATACTCTTTATGTTGAGCAGCTTTTCATCCTTAACTGGCTGACCAGTGTACCGCCCCCCGGCCCCGATTTTGATCTCAAAGCGTTGTCAGCGAGCCAGTTGTGTGCACTGGTAGTTCCTTACCTGAGGATGCATCTTGGGGCAATGTACGAGGTTGACTTAGGTCAAGATGATGAGGACAACAATAGTGAGGCAGAAACCATGAAGACAAAGAAGTGTAAGGGTAAATCCAAGAAGTCAAACGACAACAGAAGGACAAAGGGTACAATAGTAGAGCAGCCGGACATTGTGTTGTCCATTAGAGAGTGGTCTGAGTGTATGTTTTTTAGTTGTCTCTTTCATGCACGCACTAATGATACTACAGATGATGTTAAACATTTAGAGTCTCAGTCTCCCTCAATGTATTTGATCCCCCTGGTCATTGACACGAATGGCGAGGTCCTCCGTGAGCTTCAGGACTTGGTCAAGTGTTCCAAGGACTTCCCCCTCCCAGATCAAGCTAGTACCAAGCAGGTAACTGAAGAGCTCCCTTCGTCTGACCAAGAAGCTGTGCACTCGACTCCAGTAGCTTCGCGCCCAACCCAGGTGGCTCCGTGCCCAACCAAAGTAGCTCTGCACCCAACCCAGGTGGCTTCGCGCCCAACTCAAGTAGCTCCACGCCCAACCAAAGTGGCTTCATGCCCAACCCAGGTAGCTCCACACTCCAAAAGTTCAGTGTATTCCATGCGCCTGGTCAGTTGTGGATAGCTGGGGACCTTCAGATGAAGTCTTGCTTCGGGCCACACATGAACAGGCGCAGCCATCTTTTCAGGATAAGGATGACCAGAGTGTAGGACCTGTGGAAGAGGATGACAAGGGTGATTCGGATTGTGGTGAGATTGGAGATGACAGAGTGTAGGACCTGTGGAAGAGGATAACGAGGGTGATTCGGATTGTGGTGAGATTGGAGATAATGAACTGATGGATGCAATTGAAGACATTGCATTGGTGGATGAGTATAGGTATGATATAGACCCTGATGATGACCTAGATGACATTGAAGATGATTTTATGCCATCATCCCCTACAAGATGTCCTACGAGATAGTATTGCATATAGATGTTATATAATAAATTTAATATATGCACAATACCTTGGTCTTTCTCTATAAGTGCAAAAGTATTAATAGTTTTTCCCATAAGTGCATGTGGTTCACACTTGGTCTGTCCCAATGTATCATTGGTCTTTCCCAATTATTTTAAACAGTACCTATGGTCCTTCCCCCTGATCTGGTCTTTCACAATTATTTTAAAAAGTACCTATGGTCCTTCCCCGCCCAGTGTGGTCTTTCCTGATTATTTTAAAAAGTACCTATGGTCCTTCCCCCCTGATCTGGTCTTTCCCGGTTAGTTTAAAACATACTGATGGTCTTTCCTGGTTAGTTTAAAACATACCACTGGTCTTTCCCATTGTGACCTGGTCTTTCCCTATGACAGTGAAAAATACCAGCGGTCTTTCCCGGTTAGTTTAAGACATACCAATGGTCTTTCCTGGTTAGTTTAAAACATACCACTGGTCTTTCCCTATGACAGTAAAAAATACCAGCAGTCTTTCCCAGTTGGTTTAAAACATACCAATGGTCTTTCCCGATGATAGTAAAAAGTACCAGTGGTCTTTTCCCTCCTAATATGGTCTTTCCCTCTGACAGTAAAAATACCAATGGTCTTTTCCCTCCCAATATGGTCTTTCCCGGAACTACTAATGGTCTTTTCCCTCTTGATATGGTCCTTCCCTATGATGGTAAAAAATACCAATGGTCCTCCCACTGGTGGATACAGGTCTTTCCCTATAAGCACAAAACATAACAATGGTTCTTCCCACAAGTGTATGTAGTGTTGTCTCAGCTCATCTCAGCTTATGCATTAGCACGGCAAACCCTTGGGTACAGTGTGCTCTACCTGCATCTGTACCGGCAGTACACCCATACCCATAAATGCATGGGTCACATGGGTAAACCCCTGGGTATGTCTGCCCTCTTACTTCCTCTTTGATGCTTGCCAAGTCTTGTGATGCATCAAGCCAGAAGATGATCTCATTAATGTAGCTCTCAAGCTTTGACTTGTCAGCAAGCCTCTCGCTGATTTGCAAAGGTTGTATGCATATGGTTCAAGGCTGTTCTTGACCGAAATATGAGCAGCATGGTCGTCAGCTGTAGTTTATAGATATCATAGATAAGCAGAAAGATACCCTTGTATTTCTCAGCCTCATTGACTATGCACTTGATCTTCTCAGCAGACAAACAATCCTTGTTGTTGGTGAAACCTTGAAGGAGAAGAGCGGGAGTTGGATGAGGGCTGCAATGATATTATTTTGTAGTCTATGCATGTCTAGTAGCTACATTTGTATGTATACCCATCGGTTTACCCCTCATGGGTACCATACCTGCTGTACCCTCTCAAACCTGCGCCAAGACCTGTACTGCTAATACCCTTGGCTTACACGGTGTTAAAGAGTCTGATTTGTGTGGGCTCTTACAAAGTGTTACCTTCAGAACTCAGTGTGCGAGTGATCTGCTCATCCCCAAGAGACTGCCTATAGAAATACTCCTTGATATAATGCAAGGGATATATTGTTAAGATCAAGGATGAGAGAAAGGAAAGTTACCAAGAACGTGCTCATGTTCCAGGATGCATTCCAAAGTGGTTCGAAGGTGGTCCGACAATCAAGAAATGAAGGTCCAAGGTGCGCGAAGTGTCCGAAGAGCTTCCGATGAACAGCGAATGTTCCGAGAGAAGTACGGCGGGTGTATCAAAGTATAAGACCTCCCGAAGTATAACTAAGCAAAGACTATCGGGAGAACTTAGAGACAGCGAAGAGCGAAATGGCAGCGGTCAGGCCAAAACAATCATTCCGAATGAACAAAGATCGATTGCGCGAAGTACGACTATCCGAAAGTGACTCTACTAACTATGACTTGTAGCAGGGAAAGTGAAGTGAAGTGCGAGTATCTAGCGAGGCAGATTATATCCTATAGCATGAAAGTCCGGAAACTGCGTAGGCGAAACCAGTAGTGAGATAAGACATCCAAAATGTAATAAGACTCGAGGCGAGCCGCTACAGAGATATGCATGTAATAAGGTGCAAGGTGTGTTGTTATACGTGTAACCAATGGGCCGACAACATATGTGCCCTAAACATAATCAATAACAGATAACCAAGTGAAAAACGCACCAGCAAAGTCAAACGGATACGGACGGGACATGGTACGGAGGATCGGAACTGTATACAGGCCTCAGAATTGGACGGACGACCTTCGGAC